TGGTCCCAGTAAGGGGGGGGGTATGTAACGTTATATTAATTAGTCCATGAAGTCAAAGTTGGGCTCTCTCACAACACGCTTGTTCCTTATTTACGCTACCATTATACACGTACATACTAGTACGTACGTACGATCGCCTTGAACATGCAACCACCCGACAATTGCCATATAATTGTCATGGCCCTCAAATAACGTTACTATCGTTTCCTCGCTCGGATCTGCGACAGCGTTGTTTCATGCGGTGAAGTAGGTGGTGTTGTTTGGCATCTTCGAAGTGGCGGCAGTAGTTTTGGGAGCATTCGTCGTCGTGACGTTTACTACGGGAGGTGCCACGACAACAAATGCCTTGAGCGCATTCCATACATTCAACAGCCCCGCCACATTATTGGGCACTTTTTTGTCTGACAGGCCGCCGTCGTCGTGGCGGCCAACGCTATAAATACATCCTCATACGTGGCTTGCGGAGAGGCTGATAAATACAGGGCGATGACGCCCGCCGTATACGCAGCGGCCAAGGACGCGCCACTGCACAAGACGTACGGTGCGGTGGCATCCGCGGTGGGCACCCCCTGACCGGGGCCGCCATGTCGGGCTTGACGCGTCGGTCCTCTGCCGGGCCTAGCCGACTGAACGACGTGACGGCGTTGACGTCGGTGGTAGCCGCGACTGAAGTAGCTAACGGCGAGCTGGCGGGTCCAGAGATGGTGCCGCATTATTGTTGGGCGATGGCTCCGCCGTTGGTTGGTGGTCGGGTGACGCCGCTGCCAAACACGGGCACGATGCCGCCGTGAGTCCACGCGACCAGCATGGGAGTGAACCAGTCCGAGTTGGAAGTGTGCCATCCGTTCACGATCACATGAGGCGCCAAGCCACATTGCTCTGTTGAACCATGTACGGACGACGGACACAGCATGAATTGTGCGCAGGCAGTCAGCGCTCGCTCCGTGCAGCCGCCGTCACGACACGCAGCGCATGCGATTCACGTGGCACCTGGAGCCACGCCTCGGAGCCCGCGCGGGAGCCCCCTACCGCGGCCGCGGTCACGGCGGTGCCATGTCCGCCGTAGCCGACCAGTTGCGCGTTGCAGGTGGGTTGTAACAGCCTTGAGCCGTTCCGCCCGTGGCAGGGCGGCCAGCGCATTGGCTTCGAATGCTGGCAACGCGGCAAACTCCACCACCACTGGTCCCATGGAGCCATTCTGTGATAAGACCAGCGACGCCACTGCCGGCGAGAGTTTGGACGTCGCCATCATTGCTGCATGCACATGAATGAGCATCAACAATAGCAGACACGAGAGGTGCATGGGATGTGATAGAAGCTGCATAACAATCCTTACTGAAGAGATCTGTGTAACCGGGTCGGCGGAGGTTCTCCGGCATGCCACGATGTCAAGGCTGCAAACTGCAACATACTAGAATCTTATTAATACCGGTAGTAATATTTTTCTGTGTGGAATAAAGGAGTGTGAATAAGTACAAATGCGACATTCCTCCGTTTGGTAAGTACACGATGTATCAACTACCAGTACTTGAAATTCACGTACATAGCTACGACCTTTAGAGCATCCCCACCGGCTGATGTAAACATAGAGCTGAAAAGACCCGTTTATTGGGTGCGTGCTGTAATAACAGTAGTACATCACTTCACAGCCAATCCACACCGGTTGGGAGCAAACTCGCGTAGGACGCCATTTACAAACGAGTACTTCGCAACATGCCATGTAGCTACTAGCACAATGAGATTGTTGCATTCTATGTTTACTCCATACTTGAGAAAGGGGACATGGATGAAGCATTTTGCCTAAGAGAGAAGTTGGTCGTGCTGCTGCTGCGAGCTCAATGCCGTCAAATAGCTCGCCTGTCAAGATGCATTCTCAAGGGGGGGGGTGCAGCATGAAGCTGCTACCTGCGATATCCAAAGGACAGACGACGACACCCCAGACAGAACCGACAAGGGGACCATCAGGTACCAGTGAAGCCTCATGGATGAAGCTGTAAGAGCATCTCCACCGCATCCCCAAATATGTCCTAACTCGATAATGGGTCATCACATGGGACAAAATCTTCCCCACCGGATGTCCCGAAAACCAAATTTGGGGTTGGACATCCACTTTGTCCCGAAAATTGCACACTATTATTGGGATATCATATCCCAACTAATTGTCACAACAAATATACTAGGATTTGTATGGAAAAAGCAAGTCCATTCGTGCAGTTTCCCAATGTCGGGTTTGGACACAGCGACTGGCGGTCGGTATCGTGAACCACGTCTCACCGCCGTCGGGCACGCGAACGATGTGGCTGAACGAGAGTCACCAGCATTCATTGATACAGCGATATCTGGCCGATATCGCTGCGGCGGACGCGGGTTTGTCCAAGAGGCGCAACCGCATAACGCTATGCGGTCGCGGATATCGGACAAGAGTCGAGTCCGCAGCAACAATTACACTCTATAACTTGGTGCGTGGGATTACAGAATCGCAGTGGTCAAGTAGGCTTGCAAGTACCGACATCACCGACCTTGGGAAACTCAATAACGTTAGCAAGGCGATGGTCACCATCGACATGCCATACCGCCGTAACATCTGAAAAGTTAACTACAACTAGAGAGAGGCAAACATCGTTCATAAATCCGTTCCAGAGTGAACTTGGCAGCCTCTCGATGTCATACCATGCACTTCCGGCTTCAGGACAATTGGGAAGGGGACAGCTACCAAAACGGAAGATTTTATGAAGACATCCCAAAAACAGTGAACTGGCTCTAATTTAGGGATGGGGACAAATATATTTGGGGATGCGGTGGAGATGCTCTAATAAATTATGGTCTGTATGTGGATGTCAAGGGAAGTTCGAAGCAGATGTGCAACTACACCTCAGCTATGCTGTCATTCCGCTGCTTCCACAGCTTTATAGCTACGATATCGAATCTCCGCGACGTAGCTAAAGCTCGTAGCTAGGTGAATTTAAATTAATACAATCGTGTACTTAGGGTGCGTCTGGTAACTTTAAAAAGAGAATATTCCATTTTCTCGCAATATGGGATTAACCAAAATGCCAGTTTCAAAATGGAGGTAAACGGTCCATTTTGTAATATGGCGTTTTGGACCTCTTCAACGAGTAAATCCCACGTCGTATTAACAGTACATACTGGTATTGGATTGGGTTAAAACTGTTGTCAAGCAAGACATGTTTCAATTTTGATCAGATTTGTTGAATTCGGCCTCAAAATGGCGTTTTGGGCCTAACAGTAAATAATTCCGGTTACCAGACGCACCCTTACCAAACGGAGAAATGTCGTATCCGTACTTACCCGACGGATTAACTCAGTAACGTTACTCCGGAGTAAAAGAAGTACTATTAATAGTATCTCAGACCAGAATACTGTACTATTTCCGAAGGACATGTATTGGTATGTCAAATATGACTCCTTGTAAATCCACCTGGCTTGCCAGGCGGCATGGGTAAATTCTTCCGGTTTGCTTTGCATCCGAGTGTTATGATAGCAACCCACGCAGCCACATTGTATCCATAGCTACGTGCTGTATAGACAAATACTGATCTCCCCCCCAGTTCGAAACGGCTGATTAATATCAGTTCTAACAGTACTTTGAGGTCAAGCTCGGCTACTAGTATCCAGTTGTTCACTTGCTTGAAATCATCAACGACATGGCAACGACAGATCAGCTTCTCATTGCATGCCATGTTGAATTGTCAACAACAACACAACCTTTAAATTTTTACTCGAAGCTGATTGGTTGAATCACCTGTATCCACTTGCAAGTCAGAATTACGCAGGCGGCGCTCAGGAGCCCCCTGCTCACTCACTTGTTCGAGTGCCTCGAGTCACAAACCCAACGCCATATCTCGACGGACTTGTTCGAATGAAGTTGTTAAAGGGATCGTAGGCCCGCGGTACGATAAACGCATTGTGTTGCGTATAAAAGTCTGCAGCTGTCCATTTCACACACGTCAAATGCCCCATCGTCGAATTGTGGATTTCCGGATACGTATCCATTATCATCCACAATATAATGACAGCAACTGCGACCAAGGACGAAGTGAGCTTGCCGCGGCGGCGCCCGATATCGTTAGCCCAGTGCTTCGGAAAACTCTTTGCATTGATCGTGATCGTCCCCCTCAAGCGACTCCTGGGATACAAGCCACCAGTGTTGGGATGGACGATTCAGCAAGAGATCGCGGTCGCATTCTTGAAGTATTCGACGTTCACGGACCATGCGTCGGCTCGGAGGAATGAACGGACGTTGATCTACCTGGCCAACCTGCAGCTCCGGACACCACTCGTCCCCATGCAAGCTGCGGGGTTCAACGGTGTGTGGTACGGACGACCGACGACCGACTTTGATGCCACCGTCCTCTACCTCCATGGAACGTTATCTCCCATGCGACACACGCAGTGTACATTTTCATGACGACATACGTAGGCGGAGGATACGCACTGTGCACGGCGGAGACGTATGCATTGGCCGTCCATGCGATTCAAGTCCACGCGAGTACTGCCAGCGGCAAGCGAGTTGGAGTGCTTGCCCTGGAATACTCGCTCGCCCCGGATGCCAAGGTACGACACTCACCATCGTGGCCAAGTCGTATCGATATGATATACTTTGGTAGTTCCCCACGCAGCTTGATGAAGCGTTGGCTGCGTATTCATATTTAGCCCAAGGCAGCAACAAGCCCATCCTGCTGTTGGGGGATTCCGCGGGTGGTCACTTGCTGCTGCAAGTTCTGTTGGCGTTGAAGGCTCGAGGTTTGGTATTCGTTTGGCCACCGTATCTCACATTGGTTTTAGAGTGGTCGCATCTACGCAAACCAGTAGCGTCCGTGGCCGTGTCGCCGTGGTGCATGCCGAACTTGTGTCCACCTCCGGCCACATACATCACCAACAGCTCGACGGACTTTGTGAGTTTGGCCAACATCCAGCATTACATCGACGACTGGCAGCCAGAACACGTCGACATCGACCCTTCGGTATTCTCCTCTTACCCATAATATGGACTTTTATGCTGAATCGCCAAATCTACGATCGATTCTTTGAATTTTGTATGTAAAAAGGTGATTGGTAGCACACCCCCAATTGAATTCACACACTAATTTGACGTTGATGATAGTTTCCTCCAGTCTGATTGGCTATATCCTTCTGTCGATTTGGTTGTTTATTCTCCATGTGGCTCTAGTTTACAGTAAACATAACAGATTAATACCTGTTGACATCACAGGGGGGGGAGGACTGATTGCTTTGTAGTTGGGCCCGTTGACCGGGGACTTTGAAAAGTGTGGGCCATTGCTAGTACACTATGGCGGCAAAGAAGTGTTTGCGAATGAAATCGACCAACTCGTTGGCCGGTTGAAGCGCCAAAACGTCGATGTGACGGTGATCAAGGAGCCGCTGGCGCCCCACATCTCACCCATGCTACCTTCTTTTTTTGGGAGCATGGCTACCGACGGGATCCGTGCGATTGGAACATACATTGCCATGCATGTAGGCCGTGCTTAACAGCGTCATACAGTTGCAGTAACGACCTCAATAATCGACCTGTACGTTGGTTTACGTTACTGTAAGTGCACCACCGTAATTTTCAACTACTTACTGTTAACGTTAGTGTACTACTCCAAGTACTATTTGAAGTTACGGATAATTTTACTATTATCCGGGAATTTACGGGAACCTGCGAAATATAATATGTATCCAAGAGGTTTCTTCGTTTTCTCTAGCCAATCATACGACAATATGGATTACGTTACAGCCAATCATACTGCTTTGTTGATTTGTTTGTGATTTCGACAATCCCTCCAAAATGGTCAAATTGACTGGTTTACCACTGTTTGCGTAGCTCCATCGTTCGTGAATATTTGTGCGGTGATATTGTTTGTTTTACTCAAAATTTCCTCCAGTGGTTGGTTGAATCAACCGCCGAACAATCGCCGGACCTTCGAAATTTCATATAAAACTAAGTTGAAGAGGTATCTTTGCGACTACGCAATCAATCTTTTAGCCAATCAAATTGCAACTTTTATTCTTTGTAGCCAATCATACTCCTTTGCTCTATTAGTTGGCGATTTCATCAATGCCTTATTATAGGCAAATTTGAAAAGAACAATATCAACCTATTATTAAAACTACAATGTAAGAATACTACTGCTGTACTACGTAGTACCTACGACGTACTATTAAGTAGTACTACGTAGTATTAATATTGGTCCATTTCGATTTCAAAATGGACTGGGGCTGCCAATCGAATCGACGAAGCAAAATTCACGTAGTAATCGACGGAACGAAGTAGCGAATGAGATTTTCCAAACAAAACTTTCGACCAATCAAATTACAGGCATATCCGGTGCTCCTCCATATCACAATGACGAGTCACAGTGAGTATAGTTAGTTCAATTAAAATGACGCTCGACGATTTCAGGTGGATTTGACGAATCTACAGAAAATACCAAATTTAGCTTGAAAGCACTATATAGTACACAACTAACGTTATTCCAACGACCCCCCCCCCTTCACCATGGCAAATCATATTGCATGGTTGGATTTTACTTTTTACATCACACGTCGCGAACATGTATATATGTGAGTCGTCTAATTCGTGGGGTGGATAAGTTCCCGCACACGCATGTGTTCGTCGCGCACGAGTTTTTCAATCTCGGCCACGTCGGCTTCTTCGTTGAGATGGTAAATCTGCTCAAACGAGTGCTCGTTCTGGTCCAGGATCACCTTCCACGCATCGCCTCCGCAGATATTCAAGTGGGATTCCACCACAAGCTTGTCGCCGTTGGGCAAGTGCACGCCCACGACCACAGACCCGGCGTCCAGCTGCAGACCCTTGAGGTCTTCAGATGTGACGTTGTACAGCACACACTGCTTGGCGCTAATGCTGTGCGCAGTCACGTTGATCAGGATCGAGTCTTCAATCGTGACAGAGGTGGCCGTGACCCCCGACAAGACTGAGCGCCGAATCGTGCCCTTGGTGATCTTGCTGCCGAGGACCGCCACCTGGTCAAACACCATGCCTGGGCCGAGCTCGCTCCACATCAACGGGTTTGAAATGCCGAGAAAGAGCCGCAGCGCCGTCGCCTCGGTCGAGTCTTCCGTGACCAGCACGTTGTTCTTGAGGTAATACTTGAGCTGGCCATAGTCCCACCAGTACGCGGCCGACCCTACGTCGACACACCCAAACAGCCCCAGCTTTTCTCGGCGCGTCGAGTAGAAACGGTGGAGCAGCGCTTGCATCCGTTCATAATGCACGGTCGCAAACGCTTGCTGGACGCCTTTTTGCACCATGAGTTCAATGTAAGACTGCTTGGGCAGCGTGAATGGCATCCAAAAGTGAGGATCCGTGTCCAGTTTGGCCGTCTTTTGCTGCAATTCGGCGTCGAACTCGCCCAACAATGCAATCAAGATGTCGTGGTCCACCGAGAACGACCCCAATGACGTGCCCACAGACTTGAGGTGGCCAAAGTCGCTCAGGAGTCGTCGAGCAGTGGCATGGCTCACCTTGTCCACTTGCGCCGCCTGGTTGTCGTCGTTCACGGCGATAAGTCCATACTTGTCCAACCCCTTGGCTTTCCACTCGGCCTCAGTCGGCATCGGTGCCAGCGTCGCCAAAATGTCGATGTGATGGACTGGCGTGTATTGCACCGGCGCAGACGGGATAAACACTTGGTCACCCCAGTACACGGACAAGCGGCCCCGTCGGCTCGCGGCATACACACCTGTCTGCTTGATCACGGCTTCCAAAATCGTCATCGGCACCACTTTGTCATCGATCGTGAGCATGGCAGGCAATTTGACCCCCGGTTTGTTGTTGTTTTCGCTGCCTGGCAACGGTGCCAACCGAGTGCCTTTGCCGGCAGTGTGATACAGAGCCACGGAAACAGTGCCAGCCTTCAGTTGCTCGGTCAAGTCGAAGTCGGCCCCGTACACGGCTTTGCCTTCCGCCACTGCTTTTTGATACGCATAAAGCGTGCCGAGACCGTTCCCTGCGCCACCCACCCAGTCTTCGTACACTGCGATCACCTTCATGTTCTCAGGAGAGATCTCGCCGCGAGTGGCCATCAGGCGATTCTGCCAGTACTGCGCTTGCATCGGCGTGGAGCAGCATACGATGACCACGTCGTAACCTTGGAGGAGATTCATGCATTCGATGTTTGCATTGATCACGGCGGTAGTCGCGGCGGCGGTCGTCGAAGGAGTCGTCGTCATGGAGTTGTCGACGAGGGATAGACGGAAGAAAAACGACTTTGGCAACCCCAAATTAAAAAAGGGTGTTGCATCTGTGGTCCTATAAAGTCCGAACGTCAAGAAAAGCACGTTATATAGGTCAAATCCGACAGTACATCGTCGTATTATAGTAAAATCCTATGTTCGTACACATACGTATTGTATTAATTAAATATTCATGGCAACATCCTGTTTATTGCGTTATATAGTTTAAACGTACGATGCACTTAACAAGGCTCGGCCCTGATTAATCCCATCCTGTGGTTCTGATTGGTTGAATATGAACTGTCTGGCCAATCAAAACGATGAAATTATTAGTATGCGGTCCCAACGTGGCTACGTGGCAGAGTGAGGACTATGTTTGCATAAATTGCAACTACTACATTGTATAAAATTAAAAATCACAAGATAAATTTTGCATATATTTTGGGGTTATAGTTCCTCAAGCACTGACCTAAAAGTCGTCCCAGGATCTGAAGGGCTTCCATGGATAGATGTCGACAGGAGTGAGACACCTCTGCCACGAATCTGGGTACATTGTGAACTACTATATAGTACAATACTGTACTGTACAGTCCCAGACCTATCATGAAAGGGGGTCTAACGCACACGCGAGGATGACAGAACTGCACTTGCATACATCTGGCCAGTCGTTGTGTTGATTGCATTTTCACTGCATTCACAGACGTTGGATATGGACAGTACCACGATATAAACTGCACAAGAATGTTGTGAATTCACTATAAACTTCCAAAATTCGCACGGTTTGTCTAATCAATTTTGAATCACGCTGGAGTTCTGATTGGTTGAATATACTTGTCCTTTCTGTAAGAGCGAATTAAATTCACTCGAACTTGGGGATTAGCCAATAGCGTCGATTCGTGATTCGATTCCACGACGAGATTCGATTCGACGGAAATCTGTACCGAATCCACAATATACTATTGTGGGAATTTTTGAGTGAGGTCTATACTTGGAAATTGTATTGGTAGTTGCACTAGGATCTGATATATTTCTGATATATTTCGTATTTTATTCAAATTAACATTTTTACGACCAACCGGATGAGGATGTGACGCACACAGTCATGGGAAAGCACAGATCAAATCGATATAATCTTCGATAAGAAGACCTATATCATGAAATACAAATGCACAAGGCTTCTATTGACATATACTGCTTTTGTCCCATAAGGCATCACGACACTTGGCTCAGATTTCAGATCATTCAACGCAATGTTTAGGGCTCCTCTGGATGCTACATTTTATGTCATTAAATAGCGAATTTCTCCATATAATGTAGAAATGACAAATTCGTCAATTTTTGTCGTCTGGATACAGTACGGGAACAAATTTTAAGACATCACGAAATTCATGATAAACGAAGTCACTTTGACACCGTCTGGGGCTAAATTTAGATCACGGGAGACGTTTCAGGATACTCTACCGCATGCAATGAGCTGTATTCGAAAATGCGATTTGGATTTTGGTAGAGCCGCTGGCTAGCCTTTTCGGCCTCGGAAGCCAGAATAGGACAATGCACATATCGTCCTCTAATGCAAAAACCACTATACCATGACCGCTGAAAACTTACATGCACACCACAAAACACTTCTTCTGCAGTCTAAACAACATCTCATGGGTCGCGGCAAGCAACTGAACGAATTCCAGAAGGGACAAATCGTTGTCTGGAAGCAGCACCGACAAACCGTGCAGTTCATGGCTCAAAGCCTTGGCGTCTCTCGAACTGCCATCAGTAACTACCTCAAGGACCCTGAAAACTACGACAAACGTTTCAAGGGCGGCCGACCATCAAAATTGAGCGTCAACGACGTTCGCCAAATTTTCCGAACTGCCTCCAAGACTGGCGCAACCGCGACAACAATCGTTCGTGACCTCAATTTGACCGTGTCGCCACACTGGGTCCGTCACATGCTCAAGGACAACACTTGCTTCGAGTACGTCAAGCGTAACGCCACCCCCCTCTTGACCAAGGCTCACATGGAGGCGCGGCTGAAATACGCGAAAAAACACCTTGAGTCCCCCCCGTCCTGGTCCACCATCATCTGGTCCGACGAGAAAAAGTTCAACCTGGATGGCCCGGATGGGCTACAGTGCTACTGGCGTGACCTCCGCCATCCCAAGGAGTCTTTTTTCTCTCGCAAATTCGGGGGCCGCAGTGTCATGGTTTGGGCCGGGTTTTCTTCCGACGGGGCGACCGAGCTTGCTTTCCTGGAGGGCAACCAGAACTCTTGCAAGTACATCTGGACCCTCCAGGACTACCTCTTTCCCTTTGCGCACCAAATCTACAAGGGTGACTTCACCTTCATGCAAGACGGGGCCTCGATCCATCGATCGAAGGAAACCATGGAGTTCCTGACCAGCCAAAATGTCAACATGTTTGAGCACCCCGCCCTCTCCCCGGACTTAAATCCAATCGAAAACCTGTGGGGGATACTCGTTCGCGGCATTTACGCCGGGGGGAAGCAATACCACAGCGTGGAAGCCCTCATTTTGGCCATTAAGCACGAATGGTCCAAGATCGACGTTGCAATCAATCAACGTCTTGTTGACTCCATGCCAAGACGCTGTGTCGCTGTGATCGAGTCAAACGGTGCCTTGACGCCTTACTAGGATGGAATCCGTGCATAACTACATGAAATAATGCGATTTTACTTTTGTGTCTTATTTCGGGTTCCGGACGGAATATATGAAATCGTTGTCTGCGGAGCGCACTGATTAACTTTCGACGCCCCAGGTAGTACAGAAGGCTTCCCCATCAGTTTCAAAGTGCTGGATCCAAACTTGGGAACTCTCGCAAACGTTGCGTCGTTGCTACATCCAATTTTTTAAATGTCTTAACCTTTGTTCCCGTACTGTACCACAAAATACAATGCTTTTATTCCAAAATTGAAGGCCAAAAAGGACGAAATTATGGCATAAGAAAATAGACCGAAAAGGTCCATTTCTCATGTAAAGACAGTCTATCAAACCAGTTTCGTCGAAAACGGCGCATTTCGAAAGATCGTTGTCAACCTCAGGAGTGAATCATGGGACTTTGGACGGACGACCTCGACATCTCTTAAGGAGCTTGTGTACCAAGCGGTCGTGGTTGGGAAACGTGCGCGCAGTGGAGGCGTGGATGGAGGCGCTCAAGAAGCTCAACCATTGCCACCCTCAAGGCCCACCGTTCACGATGCAACAGCTCAAATCAAGACTCGTCGTGTGCCGCGTATATCGCAACGTTCCTCGAGGTCTAAGTCGAGTCCACGGAATGCCGAAAGGTTTTGATGAAGGCATCCTCGTTGCCTGGAGCATTTCAGACACCCACATGGCCCCAGTCAAGACAGAGACGCGTTTGGATGTCTTCAGCAGGATGTCTTCAGCAGGTAGGCTGAATAGTGGTATGCCATGTACGCAACCATGATCCATCGTCGGCGTCGTCGAAGGCGCTGTTGGAACGCACATAGTTGTAGCTTCATCCGAGCTGCGTGCAACTTTCGCGCGCAATCAAATTTCAGCGAGATGACAGTTTCATCATGTGGATCCAGACGGTTTCTCAAATAATGTTTTTTGGTATTTTGGTCAAAAAGTACAAAATCTCAAAACCCATTATGGCATAATGTTTTGACATTGTATCCAGAGGAGCCCTTAGCATATTGATGGAACTACTATAAAGGGTAGTTTGCACAAGCACCAGGTTGATAAGATTTGCAATAGCATTGGCTATAACAAAGGAATAGATGCATTCATAGTGGTTATTATTGACTTACTCGCGAGTTCGAAGTGCTGTTGTTCATGTTTCCCCATGGTTGTGTACGAAAAACGCTCCACGACCAGGTCTTCCGAATCTTGCAACATAGATACCACGGTATGCAGAGTGATTTAGACGATTTGGACGATAGCTAGCTATATCTACGCATCAATACGAGTCGTTTGAGCCTACAATCCCCACAATTGGACCAGAAATGAATGAATGGCCGATATTTAAAGTAAAAACATCTGATTATACTTTCTTGTATGGAGTCGATCTCATCCTCGACTGCGAATAAAGTTAACTGTAAACAAAAAATATGTCCTTGTTCCACATGGAATAGGCTACAAAGCAAGCCTAATTAGGGACAAGTAGCGAATATACGTCATAAAATATGTTCCGTCCCGTAAACCCACTATAGCATTCTGAAACGGAGGAAGTATTTAAATACTTCCTCCGTACATAATTTAAGACAGTACTATCAGTACTGTCTTAAATTATGTACTATTAATAGAATACTAACTCGAATGGCTATGATTGATTACCAACAAGGCATCTACCAATAACTAACTGTTGTACGAAGTATTGTGCTTTTCACCTGTTTTGCCCCTAATTTACCTCTATAAATAATACTATGCAGCTCCCCATGATAAAGCTCATAATGGCATTCATACTAAAATAATCCAACGTCCTTATTATTATTAATAGATCAAACCTGTTGAGAACAAGCAGTTTAAACAACGACCTGAACGTGCAATGATCCCGCTGCCAGACTCGTTTCGATGCCGACTTGCTGCAAAGGTTGGGAAACCCTTAGGCAAAAGCCGCACCAGAGTTGGTCAGCCAGTCGAGCTCAACCTGAGCAAGACATCGTCATTTGGAGTTGTCAGCGCCATGCTTGTCGACGCAATCACCTCCATTGTCGCTGTGCATCATGCAGAGCCTGCAAACTCGAAACTACTTTGGGACCCAGCCACGGCCAAGGATATATATGTAAAAACAGCCGCAAACACAACGCAAGATAAGTACACCAAACTCACCATAGATAATTACAATGAGGTCATCCTGCAAGTGTGGGAAAATGCAAACAAGGTCCGAAATGGCCAAGCATCGTTTGCTGTGTTGCTTTTCGTGTACATTGGTAATATTTTCAACTCAAATAACAATATACTTCAACACATACTGTACTAATATTTTACACATACTGTACTAATATTTTACACAAACTATATAGACAAAAGCACCGAAAGTGCAGGAATTAGACGCGCAACCGCCCACAACATCGAGACTTCGGCGGCTCGTGTGGCAAGTTATATGCAAGAACATCACATGGAGCTCGGTCTACTCCAGACGAATTATGCGTCCGTTGTGACAGCACGTTTGCCAGCAGCAACACGGATAAGCATCCCCAACAACGCGACAATGCAACAGCTTGGTCATATCGACCGAATGGCGGCCGAACACTCTGAAGCGCGACGTCGAGAAGTAAGCGCGCAAGCCGAGACGTACCGTATGGTGCGCATACGCTTGGGAACGTTGTCGAGCCCCCCAGTTGAGTGTTTCATTGCTGTCGAAGACCTCCGATTAATTTTGGGAATTCCTCCGTTTGATGTGACACCCATATTTCGAGAACCATTTGTCGGTGATGTTCGCATTCCGAGTCATAATGTTGACGATATAGATCACATTGACCACGAATAATCATAAATAAAGCGAATAATGCATCAAACTTTTTTTATTACATTAAAAGCATTTCTTTTTCCAACTGAGTTGAATCATTCATAACCACAGTGGCGGTACAAATTATGGCCAATGCTATCATTTTTTTTTGTGCATTCCACAAATGCTACATCTAATACAGATCGAATATTCATTCGAAATGCTCAAAGGTATTTGGTAATCCACCGCTTTAACAAACTAAATCCAACTTCGATTGGATTTAGTTGTGGTGAATACGACGGCAAAACGAATAGTAACGCGCCTTTGCTGTGGACGGCCTCTTGTAGCTCGTTGTACATGTGGATCTTCGCATTGTCCAAAATTAAAATCGAGCGTGGTAGGGGCTAGGCGTTCAAGTACGGAATGATACTTTTGACCATCGCACCGTGGAACTTTTCACGGTCAAACGTCCCTATTGAAATATAGTTACTTAAATATCAAATCATAAAAAGAATGATTATATTTCATAATTACCATCAGTATACTCCCAGGTTAAAAATCCTGACGTCGTGAACGCAGCCAGAGCTGACACTCTTTCATTTCGCGCAAATGGCAATTCCACTATTGCTTTGGTGTTCCGTTTCGACCACGCATACTTTCGAAGCGCGTTGCGGCCATCCTTTGAAGTCTCGTCAACGAAAACAAGTTGATCGGGGAGTATGGTTGCAGTCGGCCGTAGTAGTCCCGCAGTTCGAAATCAGCAGCTTCCCTTGCTCACTTTTGAAGGACTACATAAATATTCAATAATAACATTGACTCAAAAATCATAATAACTACATACCTTTTCGAGTCAAGCCTAGGTCATGCATGAGTGCACGACAAATTGTTGCGGCCGGCACGTTGTTTAATGACGGAAATTGATGTTGAATTGACTCTTTGATTCCTCGATGTAGAAGCAAGGGTGAGAGACCGCGTAAGCTTTCACCCAATCATTCACGGCTGCTGGCCACCGGTGAGCCTGTGCACGTTTTCGGCCACCAGTAACGTGCCCTTTGGACTTGAACATGGCATTGTACCTTGAAACAGATCGCCGGGACATGCCAAGGATCAACCGTACGACATCAAGGTCGATACCGTATACTTGAACGAGTACAACACACCGTCAACGCATGTCAATGCTGATCATCGTAAAACAAAATGTTTGGCCACTTTGAAATGGCCAAACAACTTGAATAAGAATAAGACTACAGCCTCCAATAACTATTAGCCAATCAGTACTGCTTGATCTATTGCTATCCGTTAAACCATGTATGTCCCAATCCGTAAAATTACCCTTCTTTAAGCTTATCTTATGATGAAAAATTATTAAAGGAGGGTTTTAGCTGTGGATTAGCCAAAAAAGGTGAAAAGCACAATACGTACTAACGTTACAGCAACAGTACACTTCAGAAAGAATACCTATAATAGTACTAGTACTACCGGAAACTAGTATGTATACTAGTAATAGTATTAATAGTATTGTGGCCAAGCTAAAGTACGTAATATGAGGCGATTCGGGAGATTGGAGTACTTTTTTCTACTAACGTTAGGCGGGTTAATGCTACAGATTGTTGCCACTGTCGCTGCTACTTCAGAGTAACGTGTATTCCAATCAAGACGTGCACCATGAATAGCGAAGGTGCAACGTTTTTCACTATTACTACTATTAATAGTACTACATATTAATACTAGTATTTATACCTGTCAACCCCATTCTTTTGCGATTGTTAGCCTGGCTAGAGTTTGTCTACTTTGTTGAAATGACCGCCACCAGGGTTTCGCTTGGCCAGTTCCGCCATGTCGGCTGCCTTGTGGTCGAACGAGCACTCGTGTTGGTCTGCATACCGGTGGGTTCCGCAATACACGTAGCCGCATCGACATTCGATGCCCGTGAGCCCGACCTTCTTGTTGCATGCCCAGCACCGGGCCTTGTTGGTCTGAACTGGTAGCTTCTCGGCTCCTTCTTCAGTCGCTGCGGCCGGCTCTGTCGTTTCTGCAGTTGTTGGTGGGACGACCGCGTCTGGCTCTGACACTTGCTCTGCCGATGCGTCCAACGGAGCTTTGGGGCTGCCCTTTTTCCAACACACTGAGCACATGCCATGACAAGCAGGGTTCCCAAAGAAGCCGCATCCGCTAGAACACAGCGGAGCGTCGCTGCTGCTGTCGCCTTGTTGCTGCATTGACCCAGCTGGTGAAACAAAACTCTCGTAATGGGGGCGGCGCCGCCGTCCCAACGAGGCAGTTACAATCTATATATAACTCTAACGGTGGGTAAGAGTTCGCTCCCTTTTCACAACCAATAATACTACTGTACTGACAATCTGAAATGCAATAAGACTCATCGCCTTTCTAACGGTCGTGGTCCAATATGGGCTGCGAGGTCGTGATGCCTCTGTGTGTCTCGTAACACTCGTGAGTAGCAAAGGAGCTATAAGTTCGATGGGGTAGTGACGTGTTCGAGACGTGCAATGTCCCATTGCTGTCGCTACCGTACCTCAATGCAGCCTTCCTGCATCCTTCCGCGATGACTGCGACGGACCAATTTGAATTGTGAAACACGACGTTTCCGGATAACTTCCAGACAAGTGGGAACGGCTGTGATTGGTCCATTTGAATTTCAGCTTCGTCAAACAGCATGCGTCCGGCCATGCAGAAGGCCCTTGTGGCGATGGCAAAGGACGGGCATTGCAAGGAATTCCTGCGCGTGTTCGCTGCTGAATGCCTTTCCGAGAAAAATGAAGATCACAGCTTGGAGTGGAAGGAAGGACTGGATGCGATGTCGACGGCACAGTGGCAGCACTTGTGCGAGTACATGCGCCTTCCACTGGTCGATCTCCACATCACGGCATGCTTGACATGCTTGTGTTGGAGCTTGCGCGACTCGTTACCGACTTCTGTCGTCTTTGCACTCAGCGACGTGATTGTGCATCTCCACGGCCACCTCCTGCAAGCCACGTACGTTGGACGATGTATCTCTTGTACAATCCTTTCTACTGTAGCCCGGACGCGCAAGACGCGATCGCACAGTGCTGCGAAGCGTTCTGGATCAGCCATGCGTCACGCGCGGAAGCTGTGATCCCTCAACTCATCCCGTACCTTGTCGTGCAAGCGCTGGATGGTGAGACCGTGTCGGCCGTCAAGCGACTTCGAGATGTGCAGGACGCGCTGTCGCTTCTCGACTTTGAGGACACGAGTAGTCGGTACGTCCTTCTCTATCCGTTAGTCCTTTCCCATGTCTCCATCCCGATGGACGTCTTCCTTCTAGCTTGCTCAAGGACCTGCTCCTGCGGTGCTTTGTCTCTCCCGCGTTTCTCAAGTCCAACGACGGCGTGGCTATCTTGAGCGACCTGTTTCACTTGGACGCGTCCTTTATGGACGACATCCACGAAACCATTCGGAACCAAGTACCGACCCAGAAAAAGTCTGTCGTCAAGCGCTACGGCCTAGTGTATTTTAAGGTATATACTTTTATATTTCCCGATACTACATATCTATGGATATAAATATACATCTATATCTGGAAATATATCTGGATATATATCTATATCTAGAAATATGTATATATCTATAAATAATGATAAATAATGGTATATATATTAATATCTAGAAATACTTAAATATATAAATATACATATCTATATCTGGAAATATATCTGGATATATATATATATATATATATATCTAGAAACAATGATATATATATTAATATCTAGAAATATTAAAAATATCCAGAAATATATACATGTTTATACTACAGTAATATATATTTCTAGGCGTGGCACACGGCCTACTTGAACGAGTTGCCGTCGTTGCTGAAACTCGAAGAAGACTGCATCCAACCGTACTTGTACCATGCGATTTACGTTTCCACGGCGTCGCTGTGCACAAAGTTGCATGCGTTGCTCGAGGTATTTCTACCAAATATATATTAATATATATATTAATATATATGTCGTAGGCATTCTTTGAAGCCAAGCAAGTGTGTGATCCGATGCTATACCGGCTCGTGGAGCCCATGTTGTGGCGCGGGCTCAGTGCCACCAACGACCAAGTGCGAAAGCAAGCGGCGATCGTGCTATTCCAAGGGTTTCCATATCAAAAGTTCCATTTGGATGGGAATAAATCCGCGTCCAAGGAAGACACGGACGCGCTCCTGCAGAAACAAGTGGACGGGATGCTGCTTCTGGTCCAGGATACATCGCCGGCGACGCGGGTCGTGGCTGTCCATGGGTTGGCCAAGGTATGTACTACTACTAGTACTAGTACTAGTATTACTACATGTGGTGATGGTAGGTGCTGAGCTTGTACTGGGAAGTCATCCCGCACGAATCGATCCAGCAGTTTTTGTTTTGGCTATTTGAACTCGTACAAGACACGGCCTCGACGGCCGTCCGCGTCGCAGTGTTGCAAGGCCTGCCCCTCATTTTGGACAACCACCTCAGCCATGCCGTGCTCAAGTCCCTCCTCCCCAAGGTAATCCTACTACTAGTACTACTACTAGTATTGAACAATGTGGTTCCAAATCCATCGATCGATATGTTTACATGTTAGTAGTGAAGTTTGTATCCGATCGATGGTTGCGTCAAAATCACACTAATTTTTGTCATACACTATATTTTGATTCGTGCGAACAACACTACAATTGTCAAATTCAAATCATCATCGACAGACAATCGACCAATCAAAATACAGAACAATAATCAAGGGACCAATCAAATTCACCCATTCCTTTAAACATCGAATTCGTATATGATTTGGACGTGTTTATTACATGCAGAATTTGTACAGAATATCGATCGATGGGCTTTTTAATCACAGCACAAAACTCCAATGTTTGGCTGACGAGAGCATATAATATCAACATGTGTGGTACATGCATAGCTCGCGCCATACTTGAACGACAAGCAAGAGACAGTCCGAGCGGCGTTCTGCCGACTCCTCGTTCGCGTCAAGAGCATCCGGAACATGCACTTTTACGACATTGCGCCTGTGGACTCTTGTTTGCTGCGCCTGGTTATGGACGCGGCGCGGCCGTCCGTGGCCAAACCGATCACGAATTTGTTCTTGCGGTCGTATTTTCCCCAGGTATTTATATATATGTCATCCGCGTACTACTGCAACCAAGTTGTGTGTTGGATTGAGCGGTTGTAAATATTTATAGGTGGGTGTGTACTGTTTATGTCTATTTTTGTTGTTTATCTTCTACATGCAGGCTGGGGTCACAGATAATTATATTCCAGCTATTGTGCTTTCGAGTGAAATTTCGTATTGTGGTGTGGTTTCTCGTTGGAATTTAAATCGATTTGATTGGCTACCTCAGATGAGCTCAAAATTATTAGCCAATCAAAACCTTATCAATGAAATTCAACCAATCAGATCGATTGTGGATCGGTTTGGTCGGCGAGATTCGATTGCACCCCCTCCCCAAATTTGTATCAAATCGACAATAATCCTATGAAAACTCCTTTAACTCCAAACGGAAAAGCAAAATTAATTAGAAGTGAGAGGTTTTGTATCCAAGCACACAAGCTGTGGTCGGTCGCTGCGACAGTTGTTTGAATCCCGAGTATATATATAAATCTATTCTTGCCTACTTGGATGTAAATTAAAAGTCCAAGACTGAATGCATGGGCTAATGGGGCGATTTATATAAAAATAAGGATTGGTCTGGATCACACACACTCCATTTTCTGCTCAATTAATATATTTGTACAAAATTTGGTTTCAAAGGAGAATTTGGTTGTCGCCTATGTTTCACTGTCTGGGTCAAACGGATTTCGAAAGACGATTCTCAGTTATTGTTAACTATCCGAAAAAAAGTTGCTATTTATTTTTGGCTCAAAACGTGATATTTTCGGCCAAAAACGTGATATTTGGCAATATTTTGAATCCAGACAGAAAATTGTTCACGTTTTGCCGATTCGGATGAAATTTCCAACCTATCGCCGATCGACGTTGGCCATTTTTTGACATCCAAACTCTCCCTACTATTAGTAGCACATTTTATTTGGATACTCGTTTCAATAATGATTACATTTTGTAAATATATCTTTTTTAATAGTTTTTTGTTTCAACTAGGGGGCGTCGGACGACGCCCAAGTCGCTCGGACGCTGAGTCTGATTGAGGAGCATCCGGTGGCCAGTCGGGTGTTCTACCGACACGTCGTGCATTTCTCGTCTGTGGGCGCCGTGTGTAAACTGGTGGTGCTGCTGCTTCATTTCGTGTCTTGTCAAGGCGGAAGTGACAACTCAGACTTGGCCAATGGGGTAGTGTGGGTCGTGGTGGATCTGCTTGAAAGCATCCAGAAGCCTTTGATGCACAGCAAACGATACGCCGACTGCCGCCGGTTCATTCAGGATCAGGTGCACCCGGACAGACTGCACACGATTCTCGAGTCGTTTTCTGCGTATCCGTCGGGTATGTCTGACTTGGGTGCTCAAAATGGAATCGATGTATATATATATATTTATTGTCGATTTAATAGTACAAATTTGGGGAGGGGGTGCAATCGAATCGCACCGACCAAACCGATCCACAATCGATTGGTTGTTGAATTTTATTGAGAAGGTTTTGATTGGCTAATAATTTTGAGCTCATCTGAGGTAGCCAATCAAATCGATTTAAATTCCAACGAGAAGCCACGCCAAAGCACGAAATTTCACTCGAAAGCACAATATATATATATATATATATATATATATTTAAACTATATTTCAAAACAGGAGATTGGTCAATGGTCAACACTGTGTGCGGGTGTGATTTTGTAGTCGTCGATCGACATGTCGCATTGATTGCTTCCATCGATGGTGTATTCACTCCAACTAGTGCTCACAAAATTGACTCTCTCATTTTGAATTTATTTTAAATTTTAATTTTAAATTGTATTTAAAACACGAGATTGGTTGACGCAATGTTTGCAGTTGTTGTATTGTCGATTTGATACAAATTTGGGGAGGGGGTGCAATCGAATCGCGCAAACCAAACCGATCCACAATCGATCTGATTGGTTGAATTTCATTGAAAAGGTTTTGATTGGCTAATAATTTTGAGCTCTTCTGAGGTAGCCAATCAAATCGATTTAAATTCCAACGAGAAACCACGCCACCACACGAAATTTCACTCGAAAGCACAATAGTTTCGTTTTTATTTTTTAAAATTCGTCAACACATTGAAAATGCTCTTTTCGATTTTGTTCGAGTGGATCGACGACACTTGCTTTGGAACGAACGTACCTCAAGACTTGACGTTGGGATTTATGTATTTTTATATTTATTAATTTTTTGTAGTGGTGGCAGGCACGTGGCACGTGATTTCGCACGTGCCGACGTCGATGAAAGATCAGTTTGTATTGCGTGCGCTGGACGCCATGGCGGAATTCGAGTGCTCGTCCAACAAGCTGCTGCTTGTGGGCGTCCTGCAGTGCCTGGTGCGATGGGGCGAAGCCCTGACGTTTGTCGATTCGTTACTCGACCAGTTGCGTCCGAAACGGTACCACTAGTATCCGTTGATATATAGTGTTTACTTGTTATATTTGGTGTATCGTAGCATCCATCGAACAAACGTGGCACTGCTGCTGGTGTGCCTAAACGAACTGGCCAAGCTGTGCGACCTCAGTGACGTGGCTTCGTCGCTTGTGGTCAAGTTGGAGCAGCACTGGCCGACGTTTCAAGGACAGATGGAACCTACCAGTGCGATTTTGTATGCCAAAGTCGTGTGGACGCTGCACCAGTTGGTTGTTGCGGGAGCGGCAGCTGCTGGTGACACGCCGCCGCCACCCATGGTGTTGTGCGCGATCTATGTAAAACAACATATTGTGTTTCTATTACCCAAAATCTGGTTGACTTGTGTGCTGACTCGCCAAATGTATCTATCGATTCTTTGAATTTTGTATGTACAAAGTTGCTGTCCTGTGGCGATGTATTCACACTAATTTAAGCCACACACTAATTCGATGTTGATGATGGGTTTCTTCAATCTGATTGGCTCTTGTGTACATTTGGATGCGTCGATTCAACTATTCTCCATGTGTCGCTCCAGTTTAGAATATATAAACACAATACTATCCATCGTCGAATACTTTCTGTGTCGACATATATTTTGATTTGTAAACCACATGGCGTGGAGCGTAGGAATGGATGTCAACGCTAAAGAAGCGGAAAGGACCAGCTGCCGCCACTTCTGATCAACCAAGCGGCGATGCCAACGGCTCGGAATTCCGACTCGAGGTGGTGCCAGTGCTATGCGAAGCCATGTTTGTGGCCCTGCAGTCGGCCACCGCCGTGACCTTTATGCAGCGCGTGCTCGAATTGGCCATGGACGAGCCAGCGTTGAACTCACAGCTGTTGTCGTTGGTACGATTTATATAGTATATATCCTCTGATTTGTGGTTGTAAGATTGGGTTGAATTGGAATGTTTTTTGTTCTAGCTGGTGGCGGTCGAAGTTGACTTAGAAGACGACATCTTGGGCGCGTTGCTGGCGGCGTTGCTAGAAACAAACGCATCTAGCTGCGTGTGGCTCACGCAGTTGCCCCAGTCCACGGGACTGTGCCGTTGTCTGTGGATGCTTCTCAAGCAAGATGCTCACGTTGGCCAAGCCATCAACGCTACGAAATGGCCCGAAGACGCCTTGCAGGTACGTAGTAGTGTATGCGTTCTATCAGAGTGTTGCTAATAAATCCCATCATGACGGGGGTATAGAGAGTATTAAGCGTGGGCCTGCAACAGGACGAAGTGTTGCCATTGCATGTGGTGCAGATTTTGAAGTCTTGTCGATCCCTGGACTGGGCGACCAAAGTTGCATCCCCCACAGTGCTCGGCCAGTTGCCGAATATGCTAAACACATAACCAAATAGTACAAAGAACGAACGTTCCCCGTAATAATTGCCATTTAATTTGGGAGTAATTGGAGCCACTTACAGCTAATTACCAATTTTCAAATGCAGGAGTTCGCAAACGTTTACTGTGAACGAGTTGGGTTATTCCGCGTTCCTATGGAATATTACGCCAGTACTATATACTTCGAAGTACAGTAGAATACAGTACTGTATTTATTGTATTTATTGTAAGTCGATATATTCGAAATTGGAGTGGGGGTGCTCAATCAAATGAACATAAAAACCAAATCGGCAGAGAATCGATATACGACCAATCAAAACCCACAACAATAACCAAGTGGCCAATCAAATCCACTCTTACACTGGACATACAAAAGTCAGTACTACAAAGAATGGATTGATTGATTTGGCGAATCAGCACAAAAGCCCAAATTTTGAGTACAAGGACAATCAATACATACATATAAGCTGGAATTCAATTTCCAGAAAAATGAACTCTCCCCTCCAAGTTCCGAATACAACTTGGTGGAATATGTCAATAATATATGTGCGTGGGAAATCGTTTCTTTGTGTTTACTAATGCATGAGGATCGGAGGGTAAATAACAGCGTCTAGTTGTTGAGTTTGGACTTGGCACTCCACGAGCACGAGCTGAGGCCGATGGCAAATGCTTGGATGGGGGCAAGGGGGTATCGAAAGTCGAGGCTAAATTTCGACTTGGAGAACTTGCCAAATTGAAACACAGCCTTGTCGTCGTCGTCGTCCAAGACGAGCATGAAGTTTTTCGCCGACGCTTCTCGGATCCGCCCGCCGTGGAACTTCATGATCAAGCTGTTCACTTCGCTGCACCACGACGGCAGCTTGCTCACGAGTTTAACACGGTCGCTCACGGGGGTCTCAAACGTGAACTTGGTCTTCTTTCCATGTGGAGACGGCGACGTCACGAGCTCCGTCTTGGCCGACGTCCGGGGGGTGCCGCCCGATGGGGTATCGCTGCGGCACATGCGCGGACACCAGATCACCCGCGACCGACTGTCCTCCATCACGGCTGGAATCACGACGCTCAGGCATCGCATTTCGCTCGAGATGCCGCTGACCACCTTGGTGAAGTGCGAAATGTCGGCGAGCAGCTGGCGGTCCGCGCCCTCCCCCGCTTCTTCCGTGAATCCAAAGTTGCTCGAGGTTTCATGGTCGTTGCTGCACGTGTACTTGCTAAACCCTTGATCGCACCCTTCGCAACCACAATTGTATAGCTTGAAGCTGTTGTCGGTGGTGCGCCTATACGAGGAATCGTTGGTATATGATGTATAGCCCACATTCCAACAACAGCAACAGTCGCGTACTTGAGCACTGCGCAATAATGAGACGTGGGCACGGCGCTCGAGCTGTCGGCGGACGACTCGCCAAAGTGCTCGTACTGGGAAATGTAAAACATGCCGTTGTGCTGCTTGGCGCTGAGAAGGAACTGATCGTTGTTCCAGAACATCCTAAACGTAGCCCCATGTTAGCCACAGACAAGCATCGCGACGACGTACTTGTACTGGGTCTTGTTGATACGGTGGACTGTGCTGTACGTCCACGATTTGGCACTGGTGGGACTCAAACTGTCTTCGGTGATGTATTCGCGGGCGTTGCCGCTTTCGAGCAGGTCCATATCTTGAAACTTGTCGCGCTTGATCACAGACCCCCATGTCGGGTTGGCGTGAGGTGCGTCGTCGCCATCTTTAGCGAACTTGGTCGCGATCATCATGGCAGCCTTGTCGAAGAAGCTCACGTCCGCCGATGCCGTGGTGTCCTTGGCTTCACCGCCGCCACTACCGCCGCCGTTGTTGAAGTCTGTGGAGATGGACAGCGAGTTCCTCGAAGCGAAGTCGGTCATGTTTGGTGTAAATGTGTTGAAATGGCAGACGGCAGACACTGTGGGAGGTCAGTGCAGCAGCGAGACCGTCGACAAATGCACAACCTCAACGTCGTCCAACATGTATTTTTAGCTCTGCTTCTGAAATAGGGGAAGTCGATCTTTTCGTTGGCGATTTCATTGGCCAATCTATTTTTAGCCTACCCAATCAGAACACTTGAAGGTTACAATCCCACACCATGGGCGCATAAACAGCTATCGTAAATGCAGTGCATGAAGGGAGAAGGCAGTCCTGATATGACCGAGGAGGGCCTATGGACATATCTGAGGAATATCTGAGCATATGAAGGGTATATACAGATATTCCTGTACAGTATGTATGTATGTACTCGAAGTAATAAGGCGGCTGAACGACTAATTCGATTCCAGCGGCGACGGTTTCAACGGAATGCGACGGTTACAGAACCCGAGACGTGAACTAAATCCATTGCGAGCGGTGGCAACGATCTCCTTTGGTATCTTGACTGCGTTGGCTTAATGCAGGTTGGCGGCGACATCGGCAAAGGCACATTGCCCCGTGGAGTGACAATGATGTCCACGAACATGGTTGAAGCACGTGGCCACTGGAATGGTTCTGACGCTGCTACGGTTGGTATCCTAGCGTAATTTTATGACCTAACAACATCATTTAGAACACGAAAGATCGAGCAAAAACCTCCGAACGGGCCCTTGAGTGTAAACCGTGTATTTCAGATCTGCCCAAACCTGTAAGCGTCCCCTGCAAGTTCTGCTTTACCGTGTACTACTCAATGGTAGAATTCCATCAGTCAAGAGCTACATACTCGACTGGTTGCTTTCACGACTGTGTATGGCTTTCAAAAGCTGCACGCAATTGTGGTGTCGTCCAACATCGAGGTCGTGAGTCGTGTCCAATGCTAGCTACACAATCTACTGCATCGTCCTCACTGGACAAGAATAGGATCAACTTGCACTGTTGTTTCAATTGTACCAACTACCGGCACTTCCGACCTTTGACAAACCCTGTCACGATGCTTTGAAACCGTTTTACAGATGGTCCTTCTTGGGCACCTCCGGCCTCCGCAGCGTGTGTGCCGAAATCGCGGCCCCCTCGTCCACCGTCGACAACATTACCCTTCTTCGCCATATTCTGGTGGCGGGGCTATATCTCACACATGTGAATTGTCGGCTCTCGTTGAGCGACCAGCTGCCATCAGGTGTGTGCGTTGTGCTGGTGTATATTTTCCGTTCACACTTGTAGTGACCTTGACAGATAGTCGATGCCATCTGCCTTGTGCTCACCGAATGCCGGTTGCTCTACGTCAAGCAAGATTCCCTGCAGCATCTCGATACCATATCTCTGCTCGTGTGTCGATTTTTCCATCACGGCATCTTCAAATGGCCGGAAATGGCCTCCCCCGACACGACATATATGCTCGCGTATCCGTGGACACCAGACTCCGAATTCATTTGATCTTTGAATTCGACAAGTTGACTATTCCTATTGCCAATGGGTTCTGATTTGCAGTCTACAGTGTTCTAGCCCATTTCTCTCCGATCTTGTATCTCGTTATTGGCCGTAATGAACACGTTGGTGCGGGGGAGATTCTGCGACAGTGTGAAAAGTATCGCATATTTACGGTTTAGAACAATCAGTTGTTATACTGTACATACTTTTAACCCACAAGACTAGCCGCGAGCTGTTCCTTGCTGATCGTACTTAGAGGCACCTGGGGATATATGACTGGAGTGACGTAGTTGCACCACACGTAGTTGCCATTGCCACACTCGGACCAACCGCACGCCATCGAACTGACTTGGGGGCTCATCATGTTGGAAAAGTGGCCACAATCGGCCCACGCCCCGGTCGAGCACTGATTGGTGTCGTAGTTCCATAGGGTTTCTTCTTGGTCGTACCACAACCACGCTGCCCCTGCTATGGCCATGCACTCTTGCAACCCACAGCGGTCATAGGTAGCCAAATTTTGCCACCCACTAGGACCTCCGTGTTGAAATCCAGGACACGTGTCCGCCCAGGCTTGCATTTGGATCGCTAACCCATCGTTCCAAGTTACAGAGCCAATGTTATGCACTGCTCGAATCTTGTTGGTTTGGAACAGCAATTGGTGTTTCAAGTTGCTGCTGACACGCACAGAAGTCGTCGGAGCTGGTGTCAGTGCGGGGGTGGGTGGAGGTGTAAGTGCAGGGGGAGGATCTGGAGTTCGGCTTGACGTTGGCCGTGGAGTGCGTGCAGGAGTAGGATCTGGGGTCGGCCGAGGTGTAGGCCTGGGTGTAGGTGCACGAGTCGGAGTTAGTGTTGATCGTGGTGTAGATGAAGGGGTCAGTCGCGGCGTTGGCCGCGGTGTGGAGGATGGACTAGGTACAGGCGTTGGTCGTGGAATAGCCCGAGTAGTAGGAAATGGAGGTAGCGTAGGAGTTGAAGCAAGAGGAAGGGTACCAACTGACTTTGTTGTAGAAGGCAAGATTGGAGTAATACTTGGAGTACGAGCAGGGGTACGCGCTGGAGTAGGGGCGGGAGTACCAGCAGAAGTACGTGTTGGGCTAGAGGATCGGGTAGAAGTAGGGGTGGGGGAAGGAGTAGACGAAGGAGAGGAGGATGGAGTAGGAGTTGGGGAAGGGGATGAAGTTGGAACTGGAGTGGGAGATGATGTAGGAGAAGGAGTAGGAGCATAAGTAGGAGTTGGGGTAGGCAAAGGAGTGGGGGGTGGTGTCTGAGCTGGAGTAGGAGTTGGGGAAGGGGATGAAGTAGGAGCTGGAGGGGGGGATGATGTAGGAGTAGGAGTAGGAGAAAGAGCTGGAGCTGGGGTAGGGGAAGGAGTAGGGGACAGAATAGGAGCTAGAGTGGGGGAAGGAGTAGGGGATGGAGGAGGTTCTGGAGTATTTGTGGTCTCAGGGGTTGGCGCTTGAGTTGTACGAACATAGACTATTGTCTTGGTGGCTCGCTCGATGTTCAATCGTCCGTAGCCGAAGTTGTTGTTGGGGTACTTGGCATCTGATATCCCTCCACAAGATTGGCTCTGGATAACTAGTTCGTTTGTATCCACAGTTGTGGTCAGTGCCATGAAGACGTCGGCAAAAGTGGCGGTCGGGTTTGCTGACAAGTACAAAGCAACGGCACCTGTCACATGGGGAGCTGCCATCGAAGTCCCAGTCATATAGGCATATGTGGTGTCGGTGGCCGCGTACGCAGACACAATATTGACACCAGGGGCGGCAAGGTCGGGCTTGATGCGATTGTCGTACGTAGGTCCTCGCGAGCTGAAGTACGCTAGGCCGTCGGTCGAGTCGGTCGCGCCAACCGCAATCACTTGCGGCGACATGCCTGGGCTTCCAACCGTACCACAATCGTTTCCGCTATTTCCGTTGGAAAACACGGGGATGATACCAGCTGCTCGCCACGCAGAGATCGACGGCTCAAACCAAGTTGACGCTCCGTCTGTGGAGCCCCACGAGTTGTTGATAACGTGTGGGGCCTTGGTGCAATCTTTGTTGCCTAGCGCATCGGTCGGACACAGCAACCATTGCGCACAAGCGGTCAACGTAGCTTGCGGACAGCTAGAATTCGGGCAGCCCAAACACGCAATCCACTTGGCACCTGGGGCGACCCCGATGCCGTTGACTTGACCGGCGATTGTGCCCATGACGTGGGTGCCATGACCGTTGGAATCGCTGGGTGTTGTGGAGCCAGCATCAGGATCAAACCACCCAAAGTCACTGCGCCAGTTGCTGCTTACGGCTTCGTGGGTGAGGCGGACACCTGTATCGATGTTGGCGACGACAATGCCAGTCCCCGTCGCGTTGGTGGCCCAGACTGCGGACGCTTGAATTTTGTCCACTCCCCACTGGTTGGCAGCAGCGGCGGCGGCGTCTGACTCAAACGCTGTCACTTTCAACGGGTTCACGCGGGCTACCACCGCTTTTGAAATCGACTGAACACTGGGACTGTTGGCAAGCGCACGGATTTCATTCGTGGTCAAACTACCACAAGGGAAGAACGTGTTGTCGATGTAAAAGAACTTGTCGCAATGGCCGTTGATTCGAATGCCGAGAACGTTGTCCACTACACGCTTTGCTTTCTTGGACTGGGCTATCAATGCGTCGACGAGACCGGAACGATTCGCATCGAAAGCGTCAAGCAAAACCATCGAATCGAGATTGACAGGCACAAAGTTGACGACAACTTCTTGGACAATGCCCTCCACAAGCAACTCGCGGTGTACTTGGGCCGAGATCTTGGCTGAAACGACCGATGCCACCAAGGCCACTATAAGAACTTCTAGCCGCGCCATCGCTGGAAGGGGTGCAATGGATTGATAATGGAGGATATGTCCATGATACCAAACCAGCCAAATCCAGATAAGATTGGATGAAACGGTTGCCAGGATTATCCGTTACAATAAACTGCTCAGTGTACGCACAACACATAGATCTTTGAATGTGGACATGGCTTCGACTATCCTTAAAGCCAATGATGCGTGTTGGTTGCTGAGTACTACTACTACTAGTATTAGATAGAAGCAAGGTCTTTGTACTACTAGTAGTAGTATTAGATAGAAGTAAGGTCTTTCAGATACTATTAATACTACGAATGTACTGTATACTCTAACCTTTCTTGGAGATAGATGGTCACGGCAAAGGTCACACAAAGTACCAACTTGTTTTTTAAATGGAACATGAGTTTCTACGCCGAACTGGACACGGCCCCGACGGATAAAACTGTGGACAACTTGGTGGCCTTCAACCAGCATGTCCCGCCCTGGTAGTTTGTCCACGTGTAGAATTTACAGCCTTGGGTAGATTGGCAGTCGTCGCAACAAGCATCCGGCGACGCGCGCTGCGTGCTGGCCACGTCACCACCTGGATAGTCGACGTTGAGTTCAGGGGAACTGCACGACTTGGACGGGTTTGTTAGCACCGCCGACTTGACGCCGACGACAGTCGACGGAGCTCCTTGGGTGTGCTTTAACCAACAAGTTCCCCCGTTGCTGGCGGTCCACACAAACAATTTGCAGCCGGGGGTAGCTTCGCAGTCGGCACAGCAAGCATTCGCTGACGCTTGCGATGTGCTCGTAATGTCATTGCCAAAGTAGTCGACGTTGTCGACGACAGTACTGCATGTAGATGGCTTTAGTTCGGCCGCCTTGGCACCAGCGAGATACGACTTGGGACCCTTGGAATGCTTCAACCAGCAAGTTCCGCCATTAAAATTCGTCCACACGTACAACTTGCAGCCAATTGTGTCTTTACAATCGGCGCAACACAAATGAGACGAACCGCGGGCGGTAGAGGTGAGATCGAATCCAGGATAGTCTGCGTTGTCTTCAGGATTCATGCATGAACGAGTAGTGGTCGGACGTGGTGTACGCTGCCAAGTACTTTGTGGAGTACGAGATGGAGTAGGTGTAGGTGCAGGAGTAGGAACTGGGGTAGGTGCAGGTGTAGGAGCTGGAGTGGGAGCTGGGGTAGGGGCAGGTGTAGGAGCTGGAGTGGGAGCTGGGGTAGGAGCTGGTGTAGGAGCTGGGGTAGGTGCAGGAGTGGGAGCTGGGGTTGGAGCTGGGGTAGGGGCAGGTGTAGGAGCCGGGGTAGGTGCAGGTGTAGGAGCTGGAGTGGGAGCTGGGGTAGGTGCAGGTGTAGGAGCTGGGGTAGGAGCTGGGGTAGGTGCAGGAGTGGGGGCAGGCGTCGGAGCAGGGGTAGGTGCAGGAGTAGGGGCAGGTGTAGGAGCTGGAGTGGGGGCAGGCGTAGGAGTAGGGGTAGGTGCAGGAGTAGGGGCAGGTGTAGGAGCTGGAGTGGGGGCAGGGGTAGGTGCAGGGGTAGGGGCAGGTGTAGGAGCTGGAGTGGGGGCAGGGGTAGGTGCAGGGGTAGGGGCAGGCGTAGGAGCTGGTGTCAAGACGGTTAAGGCTCGGTCAATGTTAAGTCGACCGTAGCCGTAGTTGTTGTTTGGGTATGTTGAATCGGAGACGCCTCCGCAGTTTTGATTGTTTGGCGTCAAGCTGCCCTTGTCCACGCTGCCCGTCAATGCTGCGTACACTTGGGCATACGAAGCCCCGGGGTTGGCAGACAAGTAGATGGCAACTGCCCCAGTAACGTGGGGGGCGGCCATGGAAGTTCCAGACATGTACGCGTAGCCGTTGTCAGTGTTGAAATCAATCGACACAATATCTGTACCAGGAGCGGAAATGTCTGGCTTGATGCGATTGTCATACGTGGGGCCACGGGAGCTGAAGTAGGCCAGTGCATCCGATGCATCCGAGGCGCCAACACCAATGACATCGGGGGACATGCCGGGGCTTCCAACGGTTCCGCACGCAGAGCCGCTGTTGCCATTGGAAAAGACGGGGATGATGCCAGCAGCACGCCAGGCAGCAACCATGGGAAGGAACCACGTAGCCTGGCCGTTGGTGGATCCCCACGAGTTGTTGATCACATGAGGGGCCTTGGTGCAATCTTGCACTCCTTGGGAGTTCGTAGGACAGAGTAACCACTGTGCACAAGCCGTCAAGTCTGCCTGGGCACAGCTGGAGCTGGAGCAACCAACACAAGCAATCCACTTGGCGTCAGGGGCCACCCCGATGCCATTCACTTGACCTACGATCGTACCCATAGTGTGCGAGCCATGCCCTTGGTAGTCTTTAGGGGTGACGGACGCTCCCCCCGAAGGGTCGTACCAACCATAGTCAGCCCGCCAGTTGTTCTTGACAGCATTATGGGACTGGCGAACGCCCGTGTCGATATTGGCCACAACGACACCAGCCCCTCGTTTCCCCTTTGCCCACGCCAGGGGTGACGATATCTTGTCCACTCCCCATTGGTTCGCAGTGGCTATGACGGTAGCGTTATTGCTCGTGGATTGGACTGGGGACAGTTCCATCACGGCGGCCTTGGCGATGGACGCGACGTGGGGACTGGCTGCCAAGTTCCGAACTTGCGCTTCGGTCAGCTTGTCGCACGGAAAGTACGTGTTGTCGATGTAAAAGAACTTGTCTTCGCAGGCAGACTCGACGCGAGCCCCCAGCAAGTCGGCAACGACTTGCTTGGACTTGTTCGAATGGTCGCTCAACGTTTGCACCAACTGATGGACATAGTCGGTCGATTCTGGTAGCACCAGCGCCTCGATGTCGACGCGACGGAAGTTGACAACCAAATCTTGCGCCGTGCCCCCCGCTTGCAGCTCTCGATGCACTTGGGCTGAAATCTTGGCGTGCCCCATGGCGGCGGTGGCGGCCAGCGCAGCGTATCGGGCGTGTACCATGTTGGTGTTGGTTGTATTTGAAACCCAAATTGGAAGTGAACAGCGCTGAAGAGTGAGGGAAATATATATCTCTCACCAGCCACGTCGCGCTGTACTTGTGTGCACGTTTCACGCACTTTGGCGAAGGTAATGCAACGGTTCAGTGGACCCATTTCATGTCGTGGACGATATGAAGTGTTTAGTGCGTGGACTTCCAAGTGTGTTTATGAACTACTAGTAATACACGAGAGTACTTACATTCACATAGTAAGTACTTAGTGTACCCAAACCTAACGACCATTGGAACGCAGCAACCTCATCGAGTTGTTGCTTGAACAGCGGGGCTTCAAGCTCACGTCGTGGCAATGCAGTTTTAACACTGTAGTACCACTCTTATATATGGTCAGTCAAGACTGACGAACAAAACTTTGTGAATGTGTTCGGACGAGGATGTGGTGGGAGATTTGACTGGTTCCTGAGAGATTCCAGTGCCAAGAACCATTGCGCACTTCACGTCAACCACGTATATACAGTACTAAGTTTGTAATGAGAAATGGGGCTGTTTGGACTACAGTACTAATAGAAAGGCACACACATTCTTGTTTTGATTCACAGTCAAATGCAGCCACATCTTACCAGACACTAACATTGTACTTATTAGATCGAGCTGGACATTGAGTTTGAGTTTGCAGTGGCGTGTCCTCTCGTCGACTTCAACCAGCACGTGCCGCCGTTGTAAGATGTCCACGTGTAAAACTTGAAGCCTTGCCTCACTTGACAGCTCCCAATGCCGCTTCCATCATGAAGACCGCCGTAATGGAGTTGTCAGGCATCTGATGACAGCGCTACAATCTATGAATACCATACCGTTAGTGTGGGCTCCTGGGAATCGTGGCCGTGGAGTGGTCGTGGCCAGCATTGACTCGGGGGTTCGCGGCACCCACGAAGCCGTCAAGAACAATTGGCGCAGTGACTTTGGCTGGTTCAAACCCACTGGCAAATTCCCCAACCCCATGGATTTCAGCTCCCGCATCATGGGGCAATGGTTGATCAGACCGCTTGAATTGGATTCACCATCGGTAAAATAGACCCGGAAGCTCAGTTGATTGCATGAGTGGGCTGACCTGGTCGAAAGTGTCCGCAGAATGACGTGACGGAGTGCGCGCAATGGGCTGTGTCCCAAGGATGCGCAAGGCAACTACGACAGTATCAAGCCCCCCCACGTGGTCAACAATTCATGGGGCCCCCAAGACAGCAAAGCAACATGGTTTTTCCCCTGATTTCTGGCTTTGGGCATCATTTCTGTGTTCACCAACGGAAACAACAGATCCAAGTGCGGCACTGTCAATAGTCTTGCCGTATCGCCAGATGTGATTTCGGTTGGAGCTATCGGCTAGATAGATAATATTATGTCCACAAGCTCCCGTGGGGATTAAGCCCGATATTTCACCCCCCGAGGACTTCATTTTGTCGATCGCCTACTCCAGCAATGGAGGATACATTCGCATGGAAGGGACATCTATGGCCGCCCCCACGTGTCTGAAGGACGTAAGGCATCTTTTACTGGCGCTAAGTCTGCAGACGTGAAACTCACACCTGCACCTACCCCTTCGCCAACATCTGGCCTACATCTGCCTCGACGACCATCCCAACCTCGACAACTACACCCCCGTCAAGACAATTTGCGGCCGAAGGTAGCGCGGACTTCGCAGGAATCGACCTGACTTCCATGTCTCGTCCCAACGCTGAGCTCTGCTGCGCCGATTGCGAAGGTAAAGCTGAATGCAAGCTGTTGTGTGGAGTTCTACCAACGGCGGTACTAGCTGGTTGAAGTACACCCAAGGCACCAAGTCGACTGTGTTTGGCGTCAAGTCTGCGATGGTGTTCAAGATGTGCATTCAAGAACGGAATGTCGACTATTCTGGCGGGGATGTGGCCAACACTCAGGGTGAATCGACCGACTTTTGTTGCGAAAGACTGCCAAGTGACGCAAAGCTGCAAGCTTTACACGTGGACATCTTACAACGGCGGCACGTGCTGGTTGAAGCCGACTAGAGGCCAAGCCACTGCAAACTCAAACTCAGTGACAGGCTACATCTAAGCATGTATTCTCCTATTATTCTCGACAGGAATACATCTGCATCTGTGTGCCAGTGGATGATAAGCAAACTTCACATGTAACTTATCTCTCTTGTCAAGCCAACCATTGTACAACGCACTACAGGGGATGAATTCCATTCCTTGTGCATGTACTTCATTGAGCAAACAGTGCTGAACAGTCTTTGCACTTTTGCGCCAATGCGCGTTATCTTACTCACTTACGACAAAGCTAGCTCAGCCACAACTTGTTGCAGGTCACTTTCGACACATGACCCTAAGACGTGGCTCGCTGGAGCATCTCCAAGAGCTCCGGCCGCGATCCTAGCAGTGTTCGTGCAGTGTCCACATCCACCTACCATCGTCGTTAGTTCGATCATCATCATGTGGCCTTGTCTTGGTTTCATTACCCATTGCCGTTTACGGTCTTTGCACTCCGACCATTCGTCGTATTCCTTTGTGACGCGCACGGAAACTCCAAGCAATCGACTCGTTTTTCCCACGGCGCCCGAGTTGCCGCTTACATAGTCCACTTCTCCCAACGGTCGCAACACGCTTCCTTCCACCTACACACCACGCCACGGCAATGACCCCACATGAACATGGCATGTCTCCCATCGTCGTATAAGTGGCTCGTACCCCCGCTTCTTCTTCCAGCTCCCGCGTAGCGCAAGCTTCCACGGACTCGTCGCTTTCCCACCCACCCTTGGGAAGGATCCATCCATCCTTGTGCTTCGAACTGGAGATCAACAGCACTTGTCCCGTAGGTGAGAGCGGCACGATGCATACGATCAAGCGAACGTCACCATCGTATCGCTGGTTTTCCCGTCCAACGCGGGACTGCTGGAGTGGCGCCGTCGTGCCATGCAACATTTCTAGTGCGAGTGTCGAGTAACTGTCACAGCGACTTCAATTTTATGACATATATTTGTGCTGTCGTGTATACATAGTTTTTCTAACGTAAATGATCAATTTATGATAAACAATGATCAATTTATGATATACGCAAAGCAGCCAAACAGGAGGCAGAAATCAGCGAATTACCCTAAACACGCACTTTCGAAGCGTTTAAGTATACATGTATTAAGTTTAAATTATGTATCATAAATTGAGCATCGAAATAAGTGTAACTTTGCTTGGAAAATGTAAATTTGGCCCTGTGGATTACCGCGAAACTTAATACTTTCTAATGGAAGCAGCAGATACATTTTTTACAGTATAGTACTGGTAGTTGTTAACGAAGTACTGTAGTATTAATATATTATTCACGTATATATTTTAAGATCCACGACAAACACGGTCGTAGTTGCCAAAGGATTATTATTGTATGCCCTTCTACATGTGGCGTTATATACTGTAGTTCGACCTAGCAAAACAAGCTGAGACAGCAACACTCAATTGAATTCACGTCCGACGACTACCGTTCTGGTTGGCTTGTCCAACCTAAGCGGGTTGGTTCGATGCAAGTTGGTCGACATGCGCTCGCAACGCCTAACGTTTTCACGAGCATGAGCACCATTTTAAAGATAATATAGTTAGACTATAATATTCATAGCACTCACCTCAACCATGGCCCTTCGGTCATACTCGTACCGATGAGCCAATACAATATGGTTGAACTTGACCAGTTCTTGCCGCAATGCATCCACCGACCATCCCTCCGTGGCCGCCACCACGTCGTCCACAATTCCACATAAAAGTTCCTGTCAAATCCATCATGTTAGTACAATATCAATCCCATCAACTAACTCGCCCATATATTATTGCATACCTCGTCCAGTTCAAACACTGGAAGCGCAGACGGCGGCTGTATTGCGTTCGTGGGGTTGGCTGGAGGTTTGTCTTCGAGCATCATGTAGTACATTTCCTCTTGGGGGGTCCAGGGCACCGGCTTGGGTACGAGTCCGTCGGCAATGTTCATCTCGACAAATCTATAATGCCACGTCATTATTATTATTATTACATTCATCCAACACTTGGATTTCAAACATATTCGTTAGTTACAGTTACTGTAGTGGGTCAACCACATACAAATCCAACCACAGATCCATTGTTTTCAATCAAACACATATAATCGAGTCACATAGTTCGGGGTTCGATACTCCATCTTGACTATATATATATAAATATATATATATATCCAATGGTTTATTCAACCGTGAATGAATAACACTACTCACCGTTGGCCAAAACAAAGCCGAGCGTAATCTGGCGATTGCTTGACAAACGCAACGACGTCGTCTCGCGATTCAAAGCACTGACACGTGGCCTTCCACTCGTCTCTGGTCTTACCAGAATCGTCCACGTCATCACCATATGTTGTTGAAGGTGGATCTACCACCCACAGACCAATCGGTGGAGGCAGATACTCCCAGCCAGCTTGGTACAAATGAGGCCACACCGTCGCGTCGAACAGGTCGTCGGCAGTTGGAGCCGCTTTTCGAGCACTGGTCAATGTCGACGTCGCATGCATCTTGACGCTGGCTTGCACCGTATCTTCGGTCAGTCGCCGGACATAAGTAGCGTCCACCTACAAGGAACAACCCATACCATTCATCACGACCAATAATCTCCATGTAAACGTTGTTGAGAGTGAGGTATATACGTCAGAATACAGACAGTAAATCTTCACCTTGTATAGTAGAATATACTAGTACAGGGATAGTAAGTAGCATACACCACGGTCTTTTTTGTGTTGTATTGGATGATACATACACCACCATATATTGTCAAGTCGATTTGAATATAAAGTGGAGTGGTCAATCGACCGACCAATCAAAACCCAATCTCATACACGAACCAAGTGACCAATCAAACTCGTACACGTATCCAAGTAGGGTGGGTATGCCTTGACATCGTTTGTCTTTACACAGTGTACATCCCAAACCTTCAGTATTATACACACACAATCGACCGATGAATTTGGTGAAACTCAATCAGCCCAACCCTACAAAGTTTTGGCAGCAAGCACAATATATATATATCGTAGAAACAACATAATATATATATATATATCGTAGAAACAACATAATATATATATATATATCGTAGAAACAACATAATATATATATATATATCGTAGAAACAACATCCATCCAATGGCCATGTGGGGGTGTGGGATGCTACTGCAGTACCTCCTTTTCAAACCCGCCCAAGATGTACTTGACGTCGTACTTGAGCCCTGATCCACTGGCGTCTTCTTCGTACACTTGTTGGACGCGTCCGGCGCCGCCAAGCTTGTTCATCCCTGGCCCCGTCCGCTTCGCAACAAACACGGGGTCCCCCACCACAAACACGTCGACAATCTGGACGGAGTCGTCCGCCGTTGTGAGGTCCGCGGGGGGCGGGGCGATCGATGGCGGCTGGACCCCCGGCCGCTTGAGTCGCATCGGCGCCGGGACAGGTCGACTGGCCAGCTTGGCGTGCTGGATGGCGCGACACGTGGCAAATAGGTCGTACCCTTGCTCTTTGCGGAACCGATGGGCAAAACTCATCACGTTGTCTTGCATGTTGGCCGCTGCGTGCGCAATGTACCTAGGCGTGGGATCAATATATATATATATATATCCATTTCACATATATATGATATATTTGGCTCTTGTCGTCTTACGAGAGAGTCGACTTGGAGAATGCAAAATCGCCAAAAGCCAATAAGGACAACAATTGACAACGACATACACGGTGCACACCCATCAGCATCGAATGGGTGTATGAGTCACAACATTCTCACTAAAAATGAATCGATAGATGCACCATCTACATTCCACATTTGGATGGGTCGACTATATATACATATAAACAACGAAAATATATATATATTATAAAGTCGATTTGAATTTCGAGTGAGGAGGTGGGAGCTCGGTCCATCGAAACAATGAGCAGCAGCACTAAATCGACCGACAATCCACCGACCAATCAAAATCCAAGACACGAATCCAGTGACCAATCGAAAATCTCGAACAACGATCCGAACTTCGTATGCGACTTTGACTAGTGTGTACATGGGTTCCCAAATAATATATCTATATATTGTCGAATTGATAGTACAAATATGGGGAGGGGGTGCAATCGAATCGCGCTGACGAAACCGATCCACAATCGATCTGATTGGTTAAATTTCATTGAGAAGGCTTTGATTGGCTAATAATTTTGAGCTCAACTGAAGTAGCCAATCAAATCGATTTAAATTCCAACGAGAAACCACGCCACAACACGAAATTTCACTCGAAAGCATAATACATCATATAAAATTCAATTTTCAATACCAACATTCGACCCACGTAGTCGGACAATCCCGACCACACAAATCGTCCCATGTGATGTATATATAATATATATATAGATAGATAATATATATATTATAATATATATATATTGGTTAAATGCACAATATTGCATACAAACATACCGCAATGGACTGTATTTGGGGTACGCTGCATACGCATCTTGGACGATTTCGTGGACGTCCGCCATGAATTTCTCCCACGTCGTGTACTCGCCGTCGTGCAGTTTGTCGCGAATAGTGTTTAAATCCATGTGTCTGTGAATCGTCACATGCTCATGGTTGTCGTCGTCGTCGCCGTGATCCAGCACGGTTTCAATCACCACAAACGGGGCGTTGGCCTTTTGCCGAATGCAGTACGACACGACCGCTTCGAGAAAGATGCGCAGTTCACGCAGGTGGTGCTGCTCCTGGTCGTTCAAGGTCACCACGGGCGTTGGCTTGTCGGTGGCCAGGGGAGGCGCGAGTACCCGCAGCGGCGCGGGCGGGGGCGGCGGTACCGGCGGCGGACTCGACGCCCACGTGCGCAAGACACTCCAAAACGCCCGCCGCGCCGATTCAGGTGGCGGCGTCACTTGAAATTGATGGGGGAACAACGCCAGCAAATCCGGCGGCAAGTGCGTCGTGGATGCCGTCGCGACCAGTACGATCGGGAGATGCTGCGCCGACGACTGCAGCCAGTGGTGCAGCATCGCTGGAATCTCGGTCGGATGGTCGGCCCACGACTGGTCCACGTGCGGACAGTAGACGACGCATGGTACCCGAGCCAGCGCTTCGGTCCACTTGGCCATCCACTGCGACGGCGGACTGAACCGATCCATCTCGATGACTGGAAACCCGTCCATGTGACTCAGCAGCGCCGACGACACAACCGACTGCCCCATCGCCCCCGACGAACCAAATACCAGACACCGCACCAGCGACGGCGGGATGTACGTGTATGCTGGCACACAGGATGCACAGAGAGAAGCCGACAATAGACACGACGTGTGGAACGAAGCATGGCATGAAACACATGACTGGATGGCGTTCGTGGACAACGAAGTCAAGCAATGCGAACAAGTGGCACTGGATAGATCGTGGATTGGCGCCGACGTCGACGCTAGTGTCGGCGGTGGCGCAAATAACCCAGTCGGGAACGACGATTGGACGAGCTGGACCAGTTGCGACAGCGGTTCCTACAAGATATATATATATACAGTCAATATATTGTGAATTCGCTATATATTTCCAAAATTCGCGCGGTTTGTCTAATCAATCTTGAATCCCGCTCGAAGTTCTGATTGGCTGACTATACTTATCCTTTCTGTAAGAGCCAATCAAATCCACTCAAAATTGGATTAGCCAATAGCGTCGATTCATGATTCGATTTGACGGGGTCTGAAAATTCGTACCGAATCCACAATATTTTCTATATTCTAGTATTCGAAGTAGAGACAGACAAGTTGGACGATCATCCAAAACTATTTACAATACACTCGTGGAATATGTTCTACTACCACAAAAAATCCATGACGAAGCGAGATATAGTACACACACGTACTTATATAGATATATCGAACCGCTCATACAATCATACATGACGATACCAAATATATATAGGGACGATCCATCAAGAATATATCAATCCATTCTATTATTCGATAAGCTAGATATATAACCCACGTGCATATATATATATATATCGAATTGTTCACACAATAATCCTACATGACGACGCAAACATATACGACTCATATATACATTGGGCATATCCATCAAGAAATACAATCTACAACACGGACAAACAACCCATATCCACGTGGTATACACTATAGTCCATCAAAATGTACCTCCAACAAAGGCGCAAGCAGCGGCGGCAGCGGCGTGGCGACTGCCGACTGGGACCGCGCGGCCGCCGGCACGATCTTGGCTTGGGCGGCATGGAAGTCCCCGCGTAGCACATGCAGTTGGCTAAGATCCACGTCCAGCTTGGCAGGCGTGTCGTACACTTGGGGGAAGGCCCGCTTGAACGCGACAAGGGCGGTCTCGGCACACAGCGCTTTGATGTCGGCGCCGCAGTACCCGACCAGGTCCTTGGCCAGTTGGTCCTTGAACGACGTCGACAGCGGCGGCTGCCACTTCTTGGTGTGAATCCCCAGCATCGCCGCGCGGTCTTTGGCATTTGGAAGGCTAAACGCCAACTCGCGGTCGAATCGGCCTAGGAATAAACGATCGTGGGTGGTCACATATATATATATATATATATTGTATACTAGCGACAGGTATATATATATATATATATGTATCTATTGTGGTGTTTGTCCATATTGTTGTGGTTGTACTGGACCGACGACGTACACAACCAACTATTATGACGTGCAGATGAATAGGCAGTGATACAAAAGGGAGGAATGCATTAGAAATCAACAACCAAGTATCGTGTGTGTGTCTGATATTCGTTTGTATGTGATGAACATCCCCCCGCTGGGACAGGTATTACTTTCATATACAACATTCTGAAACAAAACGATATATATATATATATATCGATGGAGTATTTGGCAAAGCATAGCAACAAAAGTCCACAAATGTTGGCAGATGAATCGAAAATATATATGTTTGTGGTTATGATGTGTACCTGGTCGCCGAAGCGCGGGGTCGATGGCGTCGATACGATTCGTCGCTCCAATCACAATCACTCGGCCTCGTGAATCCAGCCCTAACATATATATATATATATATATATATATATATTCATCACATGTATGTATGTTGTCCGTGATTAACAGTCCATATTACAACAAAGCCCATGGTTCCAACACATGAGTTTCGACACGTTTGAATATATGAACAGGTCGATTCGAATATGGAGTGTGGGGTGCTGCTCAATCGAATGAGCAGATCCCAAATCGACAGACAATGGACCGACCAATCAAAACCCTGAACACTTTCAACTGGCCACTCAAACGCCGGCAACGATTATCGGATTATAGTGTGTGACTTCACAAATAGTGTGCATGGTTTTACAAATTGTACATTCAAAATTCAGTACAACAATTCGACCAATGGATTTGGTCAATGATACATATTTTGGCAGAGCGCACAATATCAACAAGTGTTGTCTACACTGTTGGAATAGCTGTACAATGTGATATTCAGCATCACAATGTAGTAGCTGACGTACCGTCCATGAGCGCCAGCAACGTCGACACAATGGACGCGTGGATTTGATCCTGCTTGGCGCTGCGGACCGGCGCGAGGCCGTCGATTTCGTCAAAAAAGATGATGCTGGGCTCGGTCTTTTTGGCCTGTTCGAACAGCACGCGGAGCTGGCGCTCGGCTTCGCCGACCCATTTGCTCAAACAGTCGGCGCCCTTGCGCATGTAAAACGTGATGCGCTGGTTGCCGGTCGAGTTGGCGAGAGCCCGAGCGACGAGCGTCTTGCCGGTGCCAGGGGGACCGTAAAACAGCACGCCCGAGGGCGGCGTGAGTGCAAACTTGGCGTAGAATTCGGGGTACAGCAGCGGCAGCAGGACCATTTCCTGGAGCGCGTGGATGTGCGACTTGAGTCCGCCGATCGAGTCCCATGTGATGGATGGATCAATGTCCAGGGGGGAAATGTCGGCGGGGGGCGCCCCCTTCTTGGCATTCTTCTTGTCCGAGTACTCGTGCCGCGCCTTTTTGGCCGACCTTCGCGAGTGTTTTTTGCTGGTTCGCTTGATCTGTTGCATTTCGCCGTCGGAAGACGATGCCGACGATGACGATGACGAGCTCGACAACGCGTACGTCTGTTTCGACGGCGCTCGATCATGATGTTTAACCCGTTTCGGAGGCGGCGCGACGTCGCCAAAGTCGTCAAAGAGGTTCGTGTTGGATGCTACGTGGCGGCGAAGGGTCGAACGATCGCGAAGGGAGTAGCTCTTGGTCGATCGGTGAAAGCCATTCTTGTCATTCTGTTTCGGCGACGTGGTCGTCGTCGGCATGTCGCGCTGCCCAGTCCGAAGGGCATACCGCGTAGCGCGATCCATCACTTGAGCCGCCGCGCGGGATTCAAACGATGACGGCTGATTGGATTTTGGTGGATCGTCAAACGACCGTCGCTGTGGGCCATGGCGGCTGCGGTCGCGCAGTGTGTACCTGCAGCGTAGGTTAGAACTACTAGTACTACTAGTACCAAATAATAAAGTCATTTGATTGGATAAAAAGAAGGAAACGGGGCGATGCGATTGGCGGAAACGAATGAACGTTTCCAACGAGACCTCTGAACTTGGATATATATCATATGTCGAAGGTCAGGAAATCCTTGACAGGGGGACCAAAACGACTATATATATAAAACGACTATATATATATATATATATATATATATATATATATATATATATAAACTATATATAAAACGACTATATATATATATGCCTTGAAGAGATTTGATATAGTTGGTTGTGTACCGAGTCGCATGACGAAGGGAATTCGGGGGTGGCAATGTTTCCAACGCGGAGACGGACGCATCGTCGGCATCGGATGACTGCACCCGGCGGCGAGATGGATAGCGCGACGAGAATGCAGTGGCGTCCTCTGCATGGCCTCGGCCCACCAAAGCCGCGGAAGGGCTGCCCAGTCTGTAGGAAATACGCAAGTGATCAAGAAAAGGCATGAGCATCATGGCATGAGACGAGGACGGCATACGGTGGGTCGGGACTGTCGTCGCCGACTCCAGATCGTCGGTGGCGCGTCGATTGTCTGCGCGCAGTGGCATCCCCAGACTCAACCGTGGCGCTACAGACACGAAATGAAACGTGATGTGAGCATGGAGTTATGTACCTCGTGTCTAGAACTTCCTCGGGCTCGATGGACGATCGCAATCGTCGGCGGGTCGTCGAATGTCTAATGTTACAAGGACGTCAAGGATATGTCGACGATATAGTATGTACCGGATCTCGTCTTGCGTGGGCTCGGCAGCAGAGCGCACGTTCCGGCGGGACGATGCATGCCTAGACCATGCGTCACAACAGGCAAGAAGAAAGTACATGTTCAATCGACATATATGTACCCTTGACGGGCGGATTCTGGACGTTCCAGCTTTACGTCGGGACTCGGGGCTTCCGATTCGTCTTCGGCGGTGTCGGGGTCGTTGTCCGACGATCCTTGGTCGTCAACTTCGCCGTCGACTTGATCGTCTTCGTCCTCATCCGCGGAGGGAGGACTCGAAGTGCGTCTCGCGCTTGAATGACGTTGGTACAAGGGTGATGCCGTTTCATCGTGTGATGAATTCGGATCTTCCTCCTCTGCAGGTGCATGGCTCTACAGAACAATGGTCACTTGTTTGTCGACGAATTCCACGGGTGCAACGTACGTAGGCATCGAGGGACTCGATGTAGCGCACCGTCTGCTGGCGTCGTCGTGGCAGTCGTTGCAGAATGTCCACGTTGGGTGAGTCGTTGATCTCAATCACGCGTTCCCCGACGTCATCCTTGACGCCTCCACGGCGGCGAGTTCGCATGCTGAAAGAGAGCGAATGGAGTGTCCGGATAATATTTCCGGATACATCGCCAACGTCCAACAATCGACATTTGGAACAGCCAATCAACACGTGTTTTTCGAATTTCAATCCTCTCATTGGATGTATATCCACTTTGTTATAACCAATGGCCTTTGCTGTAGCCTATTTCATGTTCAAAATTGAAGTTGGCATGCCAGCACGGCGACGTTGCACGAGCCGCGCGATGTATCGTTGCTACGACAGTTTTACCAAGACATCCTCGTGCCTTCCTTTGGCATGTACCCTAACGGTATGTTCACGAAGTCTTCAACTTTCAATAGCCACAGGCATTCCTGGTAGAGCTCGACGATCTCCAAGCGTTCGAGGCGCAGCTAGCACCAGTGATGCGAAATCCATAAGGGAAAATTTACCTAGGGGCCCTAATTTACGTTTCCCTAGGGAGTTTTGGCAAAATAAAATAAAATTCAATAGAGCCAGCCATCTATTCTGAACGCTGTACCCTTGCTTGGTACGGCCTAGGGACCCATAATTCAAAAATGGCTGAGTTCCATGAACTGGTTCTCTGGGATTTCCCATCGACGTGTGGAACAAGTCCGCAACGAATCCATCGGTATTCAACGGTTGATTTTTTGATTTTTAATCGAATTTTGAAACAAGGATTTGCAGCGTTAATATCAAATGATCCGGATATAGCCGGATAAACCAACCGAAATATACGAATTGTACGGATATTTCAACAGATTTATTCCTTTTCCCACAGGGAGGGCAATCTGCTCGAATTACGGCCCTAGGGAGGGGATAACCCGTCGTTAATCTCCATCAGTAATGCGCACTAATGTATTACAGCGCGTCTGGTAACAGTTGGAGGATAAAATGGAATTTTGTGAGGGGGCAAACATCTCAATCTGTAATTATTGAATAACGACGAAAACTCCATTTTGTGTGAAAATATTGGCACTTTTTGCCAGACACGTGATTCTTCTTTTCTTTCAGAAAAATTCGAAATGGCAACATCGTTGGGAATGAAGGACAGCCGTGCCACCTGGTCGCACGCCCGCGATTTGTTTCTTGTCACGCAGCTACAAGCCCAAGCTGACTCCGGCAAATGAGCAGACAACGGGTTCAAGAAGGAGGCCTGGCGAGCCGTGTGTAATGCGTTCAACCTCGAGTATGGGGTCAACTTCTTGCCAGCACAACTGAAGTCTCGTGTAGACTGCGAAATGATACTGCCGCTGCACTATGAATCATTCTAATGTATGCGTTGTAGCTCAAGCGAGATTACATGGATGTCAAGTATCTGCGCGACAACTCTGGCTTTGATGAGACGATGCCCTCGGCCTTCCTACAGCCCCAGAAACGGTTTGGGCGTCCGTTACTATGGTATTTGAGATATCCGCATACCAAATCTAATCATATTTGTGTAGCTCAACAAGAACTACAAAAAAGTTCCGAACGACTCCGTTCCCTCTGTTTACAAACCTGGCGTTGCTTTTGGATGGAGACATGGTGACGGGGGCATTTTCCCTTCCACCCCCAGGTATCGCTCATATGGCCAACAACAACATTATCAACGATGCCGACGTTTTTCCGCCGGCCGATGTTTACCCACCGACAGACCAATACATACAAAGTGATCGCATGGATTTCGAGGAATATCAACAAGCCCCAGTGACCAAAGGACGTGGAGGGCGCAAAATTTCTGCCCTGGATGATGACATGAGCAGCGATTCGGACGATTCCGACAACATGATGCCCCGAAAGAAGAAGCCGCGTCAGCAATAAGAACGACGATCGGCCGGGTCAATTATTGGTGAAGCGATGTCAAAATTGGTCGAGGTCGAAAACGCTAAACTGGATCAAGTGAAGAAAAGTGGTACCGATCCACACGAGCGTATAGCTGCCGCCATTCAATGCCTCATGTAAAACTACGGCCATATGGATGGTCACGTAATCGCAAACTTAGCAGACAAGCTTGGCGAAGGTTTCAATGCAACAATTTTCTTGGCATTAGGCGGGAATGCGCGCGATGCCTGGGTAGAAAAACTGATTTGGTAGCATGAATAATATCGATGCAACACAATATTTTTCAACTAATTACATGATTTACATAGATTGCATTATAATTATCTGTGCTACTGCTGATTGTGCTGAGTATATTGTTCCCACATTGCGGTGGAAATAACATCCCGTTGTTCGCATGCAGCAGCAGATAGTTCTTCATTGTCCGTGTAATGGCCGTCGTTGTGGTTGACCACTCGCTTAGCACGACGGCGATTTCGACGTTGCATTTCTCGTTCAGCCTAGGTTGATTTGGCTTGGGAATGGGTACTCCGGGGCGGTTACAAGGATACGGAACCGCTTCTTAAGCACGCCAAAGATTCGCTCGATACAGTTACGTTGCTGAGCATGGCGGAGGTTGTACAACTCTTTAGGAGATTGGGGCTCGCGTAGGTGATAACGGACTCCCCGATAAGGCGTCAACAGATTAAGGCGTAGACCGTATCCAGCGTCACCTAAACTAGGTTATTAATAGATATTATAATATATTTTTACCAAGATACATCTTTCCCGGGGGAATAACAAATCCTTTGTTCAGCAGCGCATCCTCGAGAACACGCCCATCTGATGCAGAACCTTCCCATCCAGCCAATACGTAAGTAAACTTCAAATCGAATGTGCACGCCGCTAGGATGTTCTGGCTCATATAACCCTTTCGATTTCGAAACGGCTTTGCTCCAGATGGCGGAGGGATCGCCGGTACGTGCGTGCCGTCAAGGGTGCCGACGCAGCCCTTGAAAATGGAAACAACTTGGGGTTCGAGTGAATTTCCCACGGAATACTGCTCCCAGGGAAACGCATGACCGTCGGGTACAACCTGACCATAGCCGACAGAACCTATAATTCACCGTCATGATGATGAGAACAAGTATTTTGTACCTCGTTCATTGATTGTGTGACCGTCCAACCACTTCGTTGAAATCGTTCTTGTGCTTGTCTGCTTGAAATGGCATGGCCAACGACGTAGAGAAACATTGCCAACTTTTCTTTGGCTGACACGTATCGACTTGGGCTTAGCAATCCCTTGTTCATAAGCATCACCAAAATTGCAATGAATGTACCAGGTAGCATGCGCAGTTGATTGCGGAACCGTCGGACATTTCCTTGGAGCAACTCGTCAATCCACGATTCCCCTCGCAATGCAGAAGTGTGACACGTTTCTTTTACGATGTGATTAACTGACCACCAGGTCACACAGCTCAACCAAACTGCGTTGGAGCTCATGGTGTGTGTGTTCCTGGTTGTAAATGATGTGGAATCTGAAACAACTCATAGTCCAACACCATTATTCAATAATCAAAATGGACCTTGGAGCCGTACTTTTAAAACGCCATAATACTGGCAGTCTCAATAAAAAATGATCCTCCCATTTTGTTGCCAGACGCGTGACGCAGATTTGCATTATTCCATTTTGCCTCAAAATGGCGTTTTGGGGTACTTGATTACAATATTTCTGAGAAAAAAAGTGTTGCCAGACGCGCTCTTACTTAAACAATATATTGCAATTTATTTAGTTCAATTATTTATTGTTCCACTTCGCAGATTGCAATTATTAATTGATTTTCAGGATGATATTGCCGAAAATTGGTTATATTGTACAAACATCAAAACATACTTATGTATCATAATTTATTGTTTGAAATTCGACTTGTCAATAATTTATTGTTTGAATTCAATACAGATAACTTCATAATAATATAATTCTGCGCAATGCTGATCTCCATGGGTATTGTGGCGCTAATTTGAGCTTCCCCCATTTTCCCTACTACGCTTCGCATCTCTGGCTAGCACAACCCGACCACGACGCCTCCTGTCTCTACCATATCTTGCTTCTTCTCGAGAGTGACACCACTGCGATCCTCGCAGGCGTGTGCTTTGAGTGCTATTTCCAGAGCAACTGCGGTCTTGTGACCTATGTTGCCACCAACCCCAAGATCGACACGAAAGGACAAGTGTTCGGTCGATTCCTTGTCGACAATGCCCTCGAGCAGCTACAACGTCAAGGTCAATGCCGCCGCCACATGCGATGCCGCGCGGTATTTCTGGAATCCAACTCGGACCTCGTTGTCCACGATGTCATGGGGCCTGTCGTTCTTAAACTTTGAATATGTGCAGCCCCAACTGAGCGACACAAAACAGCCGTGTGAAACACTTTGCATCGCCGTCTTCAATGATGCCCTTTTGGGCGTGCCAAAGACTGGTCTAGGAATTCCTTCGCGCGAGTTATTGTGTGTTCTACTCCAAATTTCCATGGGCGGTTCTTAAATCGCCCCGATCCGAATGTCCGCGAAATGATCCCAATGACAAAAAGTGGTATTTCCTTTACAAAATAATCGTTACTAATCACCCTATTATGACGCAGTTTACTGAGCGGTGTCAATGGACGACGATCCAATCTTGCAGCATAAACACCTGAGCGCGTAGGCCTCGTATGCGAGTTTCTTCGTATCCCCAACACACATGCACACCTATGTACAGTACAGTACACACAAACATCTCAAGTACACCAACTGGACGCCCGCGCTACCGCAATGTGCGACTACACTTCGTCGTACTGCCCAGGCAGTTGTGGAAAACTGAGATGGATATCCATTTTCTGCCCAAATCTTCGAAATTCTAACCAATGAAATCATCGCGACTATTTGTTGGCGATTTTCACAATGCCTCACAATTGGCAAGTTTAACCAAAAAGCACAATACCTGCGTTTTTGACCGACTTTTACACCGAACTCATGGGCTCGAACGCGTTGACCACCGATAAAAATGCGATTCGGCAGCTCACATGGCTGGCCACCAATCTAATGGTGCAAATGTTCGCGCACTGTAGAATGGCCATTAAAGCAAGTTTCGTTGAGATAAGGGTTCGTAACATCATGTGCAGTACATTCCGAAAGTCATTTCCGTGACACGCCTGCTAATTCCACAGTGAATATGCTCCTTTTACACAACCAATCTGTCATCACGACGTTGCCTCATAACCTACCTCGCTACTGGCTGACGAATATCGGCCTGAAATCAAGATCTAGCCCCGTATGACGTTGATCAATGACCGATTGTAAATACCCTAAATAGCCTGAAGTAGTGTGTGCATTCTTCGTAGCCAAAACCTTGATTATTGGAAAAGAAACAATTCGACACCAGCATCGATTTGAGCCATCCGACGGGAGCTAGTAATGACTACAACTCGTAGTGTATTTATTATTGGCCCCACAAGCCTTCGTTTTACCCCCACCCCACTTTCTAGGCTGGCGGCAACAGTACACTGCTTACACTGCTTCCCCTCGTTCTTAAGTACCCAAACCAATCGACTCCAAGCTGACGGCACCACACAACACACATCCACATGCGCAAGTAGTTAGTAGTTTAGCTAGCATATACTTGGAGCGACGGCACGAAGCGGTCCTCGGTGGGGGCTGCCACGGCCCATGTGTCGCCTTCGGTGTACGCGACGAGCACTTCCTTCGAGGGATCGTTCTTGGTCGAGAACGTCTTGGTGCCGTCCAACCAGATGGGCGATTTGTTCTTGGTTTTGCCGTTCGAGTGCACCGTGAACCAGTACGTGGTGGCGGGTTCAAGTATGTTCCGCACCCCGCACTGTCGATGCTCCGTCGACCAGCACAGTAACCACAACGGTGGCTAGACTCACAATGCAAACTGACTGGTATTAACCTTTTATACTAACCAGTCGTCGATATCGGCCACGCGTCGAAACGAGACGGTTCTCGACCTCCCATGTAGGTGCGGTTTGCCCTCGGTCATTTCCGCGGGCACACGACGCACTTCTGCGGACGCGGCAGAACACTTCCCCCTACAGTGAATGGCCAAGTCGTCGCGCATTTCCTTGACGACGCCGTCGCTGGCATTCTTCATGATCCAGCGGCGCAGGACGACCGGAATGTCTTCATAGAGTTGGAGGGCTGGCTCCCACGAAGCCTCTTCTTCGTCCAGGCCCTTCCACTTGACGCGCACTTCGAATTTTCCGTCGGCGCCACGGCGAGCGCCCAAAAGGTCTTCGACGAAAAAACCCTCATCGCCAAACGCGGGGCGTAGTCCACCAGGGCATCGGTGACATCCAATGCGGCATCACTGAAAAACTTCAGCCGGCTGGCATGGTGGACCGACGTAGTAAACGGCTCCACGAGCTGTTGGACTTCCATCACATAGTCCGAGTCGACCCGCGATACGCGGTACGGACCTTTCCAGTTGAGTGCCAACTTGTTGGGGAACTTGATGATTTTTCCCACAAGCACAAAATCGCCCAGCGCAAACTTCGCTAAGCGCACATGCGCTTTCTTCTCGCGGCGGCCTCGTGCTTGCTGCCGCAGCTTCGCTTCGAGCTGCTACGTCGCGGTGCATATTTTCCATGGCTTGTCGCAGCGCGTCCATGTACTCTTGACGCGCCTTCGAGAGCCAGTCCACCGTGAGTATTTTCTTTGTCCTTGGTGTACGAACCCAGCTAAAGGCGTTGTAGACGGCAAGCCTTGAAACGCCGTCACTGGAGCCACACCGCCGAGACGGTCCGCCGGCTGGTGGTTTAACGCGCTCTGTACCAGGGCCAACACACGGTGCCATTCGTCCGGACGAAGCTTCATTTCGCTGGTCAGGGTCTTCAACCCTCGCAGGATAAGTCGATTAACGACTTCCACTGTGCCGTTCGCCCACGGCGAGTACGGCGTTGTGATATGGTGATGGGCACCGATCATCCTCTTGATCTTCCCCACGACTTCGTTCTTGAAGTGAGTTCCGCCATCGGAAACCCATGTCGACACAATGCTATGTGTCGCAAACCAATCCATCAGGGCGTTAGCTGTGCTTTCCGCGTCGGCCGTTGCCGAAGGGAACAGACGACAAAACCCACTCATGTCGTCCTTGACGACAAGCACATATTTCCAGCCATTCGCGGCTGGCGGCAGTTGGAGCCAAACGAAGTGGATGAGCTCATTTGGGCGCTCCGCATGCAGGGCAGCGCCCCAGGGTCTCGGCACCATCGTGCCGTCGACACACAGACAGT